CCTATTTCAGTATTTACTAAATAATATAGTTTTAAACTCTTGCAACCTTGGTACGGTACCGGTAGTTTAAATAACACGTCAGCATTCAGTAAATGATTGCTAGCGGTACAGTTATAAATACGTAAAACCAGTAAACAAACGTGATAGAAATGGTATGGGTTATAGATTGTCAATGTTAAACGCTTTCAGTACCGGTACCGTACCCAAAGCGACATTAGCGCCGCATTTGCAGCGCATATCCCACAGAGCACGGCGAGTTGGCAGAATCTCATGGTCTAGTGAGTAAATGGTCTTTTGATAAAAATATCAAAAATAATGTAAAAAATATTCTATCCTCAAAACTACACACGTATACGATGAAACATATCTAGAAAATCCCAAAAAATGCAAATTTCTGCTCTGGTGATCGCATATCCCATAAGAGCTAATGTTAAAAAAAATTATTTACATCACTTTCATTTTTGCGCGTAGGATGGGTTTAAATGACTAAGGTCTTTTCAAGTCAATCCTATGTATGTTCAGTTACCTTAAAATGTAACAGTATCTGCATAATAATTAAACAGTGTAAAAGAGACGTCGGGAAAATATTCAAGAAAATGTGAATTCCACTTAACGACAGGTCTTGTAATATGTCGATTCAAAGACAGTGCAATCGGGCGAATTTTTCGAGGGCAAGGTCACGCGCATTCAATCGGAAATATATATTCGTTTCTGAGCAAACTTACTGGCGACCACTGTTGTGCCAAGGGCTACAATAAAGAGTTACAGCGTAGAAGTGGGTGTTGGTGAATATCGAGCCGTTTCATTCATTAAGGAAACTTGCTGCTAAAAGCTCAAGCATGTTTACTCGGATATAAATCCGGTCTTTGAACAATGTTACGGACTACCGCTGAAGTTACTGGGTCAATAAAAAAACGAAGGTGTGGCGCATCATTCTAAGCGTTAGGAACACGCTCAGCATCGTACCTCTGATTACCTCGCGTGGGTTCGACTGACATGCGGGGATGGTTATGATACGAGAGAAATGCTGGATAGCTGGACTCCTCATGGCCTTTGGGTGGTTCACGTGATCGCGGTTCGGTGACGGCTTCCTCTACCACCAAGTCCATGCTTCCAAAAACAAATACCTGGATAACTAATCCTATACCCGATATGGGCTGGTAACCGGACGAGAGGCGTGGTTCGCCATATGATAAAGCCGTATTATCGGAATTTTTAACCCCGGGTTAATTATGTAAATCCTAACTATAGTGTAAAACTAAGCATAGATAAACACCGACGTAGTGACATGAATTTGTGAATACGATGTAAATTCATAGAAATATGAGTCTGGCATGGTTGAAGATACCTTATGTTAGTGAGTTCAAAAGATAGGAGAACCCTTCCCCAAATTTTGGATCCCATTTCTGATCCTCTATATGTCAGTCCAGTTGTCCTCTGCGGCCATCCAAGTGGCGACTAGGATAATGTAACGGACTCTATCCTTCACAATTTCTTATATATTTTCTTCTGATATTATATACGACAAATAAACAGAAGCTTTTTTGATTCATAATTGCATGCCTTGGAATTAAGTATATCTAAAACTATAAATTTAGAAAAGTAGTAAGCTTTTGAGGTTAGCTTGAAATATTTAAAAAAAAAAATCAAGCTGAATTTGCGATCTGCTATATCAGAACAGAACAAGAGAGCGATGCTAAAATAGGATAAGATCGCTATCGTGGGTCGCTAAGACGGCTAGATCATATGGCGAACCACGTCCTCTCGTGCGATTACCAATGCACATAATTATCCACACGGAAATAAAACCTACGAACCCACGCAGGGTAATCAGAAGAGCGGTAGGAGCGTATACCTAGCGGTGAGCACAATGTGTCATGGCGCGTATTGGCTCCCGTACCGTAAGAGCTTATCTGAGAACAGTAACTGCTAAACTGTAGGGAAATAAGTTCCCGTATGCCATAAAGAGAGTTTTCATAAATTAAAATAGAACAGCAAACTGTTGAGTGAAATATAAGTTTATTTGTAAAAGACTCGCGGGAAATTTAACAATAAATAAAAAAACTATTTTTTAAGTATTGAATATTAGAAGTTGATTGGTCCATTGCCTGTGAAGAAACAGATTTTGTTGCCAATAGCAACAATCTCATCGGAATAACAACAATAAAAATATGCAATTCAAGAGTCCTGCTGCATACTAACACAAATATATTTCTGTAACGTTTCGTCTTGAATTACATATTATGGTATTTATATTCCTGCTACAGTATCCTTGCATCATACGCATACGGATCCACTAGCGCAAAGGCATTGAGAAAGGATTGCGTGTCTCGCGCACCCTCTACTGATAGTAACAATATTAGAATTTGCGTTTTTTAGAACTTACAAGAAGTAGGTTTATACAAGATAAATTTGTCATTGCGTTTTGGGTTTAATCTTCATTTTTAGCGATGTACCGCCAATTTGTCTTATTTTACTCAATGGTATAGAATAGTATAGAGATGTGAATTAATATGTAACAGGGTTGCGGACTCGAAGTTTGTGGAGTGTTTTTGCATTAACTGAAGCCAAACTTTCACACAAATTTAAAAAAATTAATCTGAACAAATCCCTAACAGTACTTAACAAAACAATTGTCATACACCTAAGTTTTTGTTATTAAACCTATTTTCACCGAGATGAAGTATATTTTTAATTGTTGAAGGAAAATAATATTTACTTGCAAAAATATGAAAATTTGTAATTGTTCATTAACATGAAATATAAATTTAGTAGGTAATTAAGATTTCTAGTCAATACGCTAGAGAATTTTATAATCTTGTTACTTATCATACATGGATAAAAATTTACAAATAAAGTATAATTATAATTGTTCAACATTAATACTATTATTAGAATATAAAAATAAAACTGCTCACCAGCATGACATATAAGTTGAATATTCAATTAGAATTGAAGCGTCATTGTTCAGGGGGACTTTATAATCTTGTTAATGTTCACACATGAATGGAAGTTAAAAATTTGATCTTGTTCTATTTATACAAGGATAAAAACTTGGAATTCAAATAAAGTATGTTTATATTTCCTAAAGAATACTAAGTAATTGTAAGAATATAAAATTAAAACTGCATGACATATAAATTGAAGAATTTTCTAGGTGATTTTATAATCTTCTTCTATTCATACATAGATAAAAGTTTGAAGTTCAAATAAGGTATAATCTTTATTTTTGAGCACGTAATTGCGGGAATAATAGCATCTATAATTGGTCATCAACATGACATAAAAATTTAATAGGTAATTGGGACTAAACTGTCATTGTTCTAAAGAACTTTATAAATTTGTTACTTTTCTTACATGGATAAAAATTTGGAATTCAAATAAATGTTTATAATTTTTGAAAAATACTAAGAAATTGTGGGAATATAAAAATGAAAATTGCATGGCATATTAATTGAAAATTTATATGGGATATTTATAATTTTGTTCTATTTATAAATGGATTAAAGTTTGGAATTTCAATAATACTTATTTATACTTTTTGGAGAATAATATTAAGTAATTGTGAGAATATATAAATTAAAACTGCATGGAATATGAATAGAAACATTTTATAAGGATATTTATAATTTTGTTCTATTCATATATGGATAAAAGTTCAGATAGAAAATAGACATAGATAGAAGTTCAAATAAAATAGAATCATTATTTTTGAAGGTAGTAATTGCAAGAATAATAACATTTGTAATTGTTCATCAACATGAAATATGAATTGAATAGTTAATTAGGATTTATAGTCGAAATTCTGAAGAACTTTATAATGATATATGCTTGTCCGAGTTTTATGAATCCGGGATGTGCGTCACTCCCTTTTTGGCATATTTCCAATTCTACAAATTTTATATCTGTAAGTATTTGAAATCTAAGATATGCACATAGGAGTATGTTATTACTTGAAAGAAAGCTATTTGGGCAGGCCAGTAATCGTTTTAGCTCGTAAACACGGTAATAATCACAATAATGAAGAAACAATCAGCAATCAAAACCTTTTTCAAAAAAAAAAAAAAATTCTCTCATTTACAACGCGCACGGGTAAGCGAATATCGCACGCATCAAGAGACACAACTGGCATAAAGCGGCGAAATACCGCTTTCCGATGGAATTAAACTGAAGATTCTCGCACGTTTGAACAAAAAGTTATGACATTTTCAGGAGGAGTATACAAAATTCTCCAGCCAGAAAGGCTAGATAGGGTACATAAATAAAAGTTTAAAATTAAAATAAAGTATGTTTATAATTCCTAAATAACACTAAAGAATTGTGAGAATATAAAAATTAAATTTGTGTGGCATATAAATTAAAGAATTTTTCAAATGATTTTATAATCTTCTCCTATTCATACATGGATAAAAGTTGAAATATTAGAATGGATGGATGGAATTTAAAATATTATGTTCAGAATTACTGAAGAATACTAAGTAATTGTGAGAATTTAAAAATTTATTAAGGAACTTTATAGTTTTGTACTTTTCATACATGGATAAAAGTTCAAAAAAGTATAATCATTACTTTTGAAGAAAGTAATCGCAAGAATATAGAAAATTAAAATCGCTCTAAAGCATGATATTCAAGTTGAATAGTTAATTAAGATTGAACCGTCATTGTTCAAGGGAACTTTATAATTTTGTTAATATTCCCACATAGATAAAAGTTTAAAACTAAAAAATTAAAGTATGTTCAGAATTCTTAAAAAATACTAAGTAATTGCGAGAATATAAAAATTAAAACTGTGTGGCATATATATTAAAATATTTTCAAGGGGAACTTTATAATCCTGTTCTATTCATACATGGATGAAAGTTTGAATTTCAGAAAAAGTATAATCATTATTTTTGATTGAGAGTAATTGCGAGACTACGAAAATTTTTATTATTGATCATTAAGATGACATATAATTTGAATAGATAATTAAGATTGTACAGTCATTATTCTTGTGAACTTTATAATCTTGTGTCTTCGTGCATTGAATTCGGAAACATGTCGACGTAAGAACTCAGAAGGTAATGCATTTCGTCACTCTGAAATTTAAACAAAATTTAATTAATTTTTCACAGCAATATGTACACAATGTTACTTATATAAGTTTGGTGTCGGAGCCGTATTACTTGACTTTCGGAGACACAACTTTTGTAACGTTGACGTTAAAACTTTAATAATTTAATTTTTTATTACAACTCAAAAAATTTGATTGACACAAAAACGCCCTTGACAGTTTATAAAAAGAGACAAAGTTGACAAAATTGGATGCCATCCCGGTCGTCAAACTTCGACTCCTGATTGTCATAGTAGCTTACTTTAGTGGCTTCGAAACGGAAATTTCCGCCTCCAGCTATATTTCCAAACGTTATGCTGAAATACTCATTCTTAGTGTTCCAGTTCCTGATCTTATGGAGAGAAAACGTTCTCAGTATCTGAAATGCAATTGCAAGATACAAAAAATATATATCCTAATTTATTTTAAAATTTCTCATGTTTTAATAATTACAATACACAAGATAAAGGGTGTTTATTCAGAGACGAGTGGTTTTTAAAAACTACTATGATAGGTGGCTCACTTTCAAAGACTTTCAACACTTTTGTCAGGAACAAAAAATCTTGTTTTGTTTTTAACATGTTCATTGGTTATTTCAAACATTACGTCAAGTACTATAAAAACACACAAATGAAGCAAAAGAATAAATGCATTAGAGTCAAGAAATTATTGACATCGCATTCTATTCACATCCTCTAAAACCCCTCATGTCACGACGACTCATAAAAGCCCCTAACCCCAAAAATCTTTGCATGTCACCCCAACCCATAAAACTTCTCCATCGTCTGTGTAACCCTTTATGCTCTCCGACTCGTAAAACCCCAAAAGTTTTGCATGTCTAACAACCTCCATCCTCCATTCTAAATCTCTCCACAGGAACAACACTATTCTTGTAGAAGCTTACAAAAAGGACAAAAGTGCAGAATCAACATGTTTATTAAAAAAGTTATAAAGCCAGATTTTATCAGATTCAGTACTCACGTTTTTAGTTTCTTTGTCTTTCTTTGGATCAATCAAGCTGATTCTATTTTTATTGATCGCAATCTCTAGATTTTTTGGGTAAGCTTGCTTTGTCATTAGCTGGATTCAAAAAAAGGGGTTACCGGTAATTCTAATTGAAGCAAGACAATTCTTCGACTACGAGTTAAAAGAAAGATTTCAATCCCGGCTTTTAACTCTCAATAAAATCCAATTTTGACAGCAAAACGTATTCAAGCAGCCTTCAGCAGACTGTTAGAAATGTCTTTTTTAGTGTCTGTAGACTTTGATAGTCACCATTGAGAGTGTGAAATTCTGATTCCTAACAATTGGGGATCGATACTTTTGACTTCTGAATCTTGAGAGTTTAGAAGTACGACTCAGTCACCAATGAAAATATACAAAACATCAACTTCACAGCCATTTTATATACCAGTGGTCCCTCACAAAGGCTTTCAGTACTGACGGAACATTGTTTATCATTCCAGTGGTATTTATTTATTTTAATTGGTATATTCCAAAACTCACTATGTTCAAAAAATTCAGACTCAACAAAGTGAAAACCTCCAGTGAAATAACCTTATCAAGTAATGAAACTAGTAAAAACTGGGAGTTTTTTAGTAAAAGTAAAATCAGTTTTGCACCTGGCATGATGCCCCCCTCCAACTGTTCTGAGGTCCCCTTGGTGAGCCAAGGGTCCCCGGTTGAGAACCACTGCTATATACACTTTTTTCTCTCCTACCTTCACATCAAAGAACCTAGCCCCAAAAGTTGGCCAACCAGAAACAATCTTCAAAAACGAAATCTTCGCATCATCTTTACTCATTCTGTTGTGCTTGTTAAATTGGTATTTGATTCCCTGAACACAGAAAATTGTTTATGCAAAATTCAACAAAGCAAGTCATAATACCTCGACTAGAATAAAAAAAACATCTTCGTGAGAAAAAAGAGATTGATCTAATGAGTTATAATCTATAAAAATTATATTTATGCGAGTAAAGTCGAATGACGGGTCATCGCGTCAACAAATGACGTTAATTTCTCACTGGTGGTCAGATGACTGGTGTCACTTCGAATCTTTGATAACTGATGACTCAAAGTAGATTCCAAAATAGAGCTGTATCACGAGCAAAGTCTAACAGTGGTTAGTTGCTCAAAAGCAACACTTCAACAAATATAGGATTAGGTTTTAAATATTTATCCCAGGGGAGAGGAAAGCCGATAACACGACTTAACCATATGGTGAATCACGGCCTCTCGTCTGGTTACCGTGTCGGGTATGGGATCAGTTAATTATTTGTTTTCGGAGGCATGAACTCGGGTGGTGGAGGAAGCCGTAACCAACCAGCGGTTACGTGAACCACCCTACAGCGGCGAGGAGTCCAGCAGTCCTCTCGCACATAACTATCCCCGCATGGGATTCGAACCTGCCAACCTACGCAAGGTAATCAGAGGTGCGGTGGTGAGCGTATTCCTAACGCTTAGCACGATGAGCCACAACGCCGCGCTTATATAGCTAATTGGTATTTAACTAATAGTGTATGTGTGAGTGTAAAGTTCAAGATTATGTAGTCCTGGCTTTGAATATTTTGAGTTTAGTTGAAATTGTATGTTCGAAATTCTTAATTCCTAGCAGTTGGGGATTGGAATTTTAGATTTTCAATAGTGATGAAAAGTCATAAATTTGTATTGGAACTCAAACAGCATTTGTTAAGCATTCTAAACAGTCTAATAAAAGGACTTGCATAGTTAATACCAACATTTAATTTTTTGGAAATTTCAAGCTGAATTTGAAATTCTTTATACTTTGGAGACTAAATGACAAAACTGTCCAAGAGTCATATTTTTTTAACTGGAGACATCTCCCCATCCCTGGTATGATCTGCGTAGACCAGTGCCAACAATGCCAACATAATTGAGTTAAACGTTTTAAGCCACGCTGTGCAACCTTTAATATAGGAGGGCCAGATAAAAATAACTGGGTGAAACCACAGGATGCACCTTTATTTAACATAGGCTTTCTAGTAGTCGTTAAGACAAAATTTTTGGTTATTGATTTTACGGGATAGGGCATTGTAATGTTATAGGCATAGATAATAAATTGGAATCGGGTAAAATTTAAAAACTCGTTTTGCGGGAAACACACCATTCAAATATGGCACTTATTTGCGGGCTGCACAAGTTTAGCTTGTGGGCTCAGTTGGCGTCACAGGTTGCACACCCTTGGCGTAGATTTATCTGGTGACAAAAATGTTTTAGATAAAAAAGTTACCTTGTTCGCCAATATTCGATCACCATACGACGTAATCAAATGTTTAGGTAGCAGTTCAGCATTTTCCAATAATTGAGGGATTATTGCAAACTTACTTCTGTCTTCTCCAAATTTGATTCTGAACAAAATAAATTAAGATATATAGTGCTTGGTTTGTGAATAGTGAATAGTGCCCATTTGCAACCTTTAAGATACATTGCCTATTTCTCTTTTTTAAACCATTCAATCAATCCTCACTGCACTCTAAAAACTCTGTTGAAAACTCGAAGTGACTCGAAATATATGTGATTGAACTTGACTCCAAACTTTGGGTGAAGGGACTTGTACTCAGCACTATTGCCAAGTAGTGGGAACTCAGGACTCAAGCTGTGATTCGACTAGGCACATGGGATGTAGGACAGGATTCACATAATTATCTCGGGAAGAGGAAAACAGATAAGACGACTTAACCATATGTATGTTATGTGAAAAATTATATTTTATGAACAATATTTACATTGTTACAAAAACAAAAGTGAAAAATAATGAGCCTTGTGCCAAATTTTTGCAAGCTAAACAAATTACTGGAGGTATTATTACGCCAAAACATCAAAAGCTGGGTTTTAGATTTATTGTTGTAAGATCGAGTGGGCCAGATTGAATTATCCAACGGGCCCGTGTCAGGTTTAGAAATGAGCAAACATTGTCCGCTGTAAAACGATTTTATTAACTTGGCAACAATAATGAATCTCAAACTTTTTCATAACACAACAAACCTGTATATCAGGGCTGCAAGTTGTATTCCTTCTTCTCTGGTGCAATTATGGTAACCTCGTAAGAAGTTTGAAACTTCATGATAATAATGGAATATTATGTCAGCGTTCCGATCTTCCCCAGGTGTTACCTTCATCCATAGCTTACGAATAAAAACCACTTGGCAATTTGATGAATCTAAAATAATTGAAAATCTTTAAGAACGGGAGTGTGCAACCTTTAATACAGGAGGGCCAGATAGAAATGACTGGGTGAAACTGCGAGCCACAAATTTATTTAACATAGGCTATGTAGTATTTACACGCACAAAAATTTGGGTTATTTATTTTGTAACATGCATTGTTTGCACAAGCTAGATGAATTGGACTCAGATATCGGCTTCGCAACGCAAAGGAATTAGAATTAATCGCATGCACCAAATTGAGCTGAAAACTCATTTCGCGATAAAATTTGTCTTTGCCTTCACTACACTCCTCGCTCTGTTTGGAACTTGACTGCACGAGGCACGCCTTCCGAAATTTTGCCCCAACATGTCATTAATCTATTCTTTAGAGCAGTTATTCTCAATCTGAGGTACACACACCACTAGTGGTACACAAGCAGCTTTGAAATATTGCAACAATTAACTTTTGTATTCGCTGGACAGCGTTTATAGCGCTATCAATCCTTGTCTTTAGAGATCGCCCTCGCCCGTTATAGTCCGCCAAAAACGGAACGGGCATGTTTTCGCCGTTTGTGTGTTACGTCACAGTGCGTTTGCATTAATAAATTGACAAATAAGGGAGCATTTGTGATAGTGGCTAGTACCGGTACTGATCAAAGTGTATTCGTACGAGGTTTCGGATAATTTGGTGGTTATTATATGATGTATCGTGACGCAATGCGCAAAATGGCAAAAACATGCCCTTTCGTTATAAGTAGACAGTAGCGGGCGAGGGCGGTCTCTAAAGACAAGGATTGGTAGCGATATAAACGACGTTTAGCGAATACAAAAGTTAATTGTTGCAATAATTCGAAGTTGCTTTCGTACCACTTGAAATACTCCCTCGTATCACTAGTGGTGCGCGTAACTCAGATGAGAATAACAGCCCTGAGTCTAAGGCATAGATTGATGACTTGGGACAAATTTCCGACGACGCCACGCGTGCCTCGTGCAGTCAAGTTCCAATCAGATTGAGGAGTGTAATGAGGCAAAGGCAAATTTTATTGAAAAATAGCAATGAATTCTTTTATTTATCTTTATAATGCTATTTTCTGCGAAATATTTTTTTTCTCGCTTACATTTATATTGTAGATATTTTAATAAACATTTGTCTCCACTTGGTCTGATCACCCTGTATAACAAGATTCAGCCCAAAAACCTGCTTAGAGTTAACAGAGGTGTAATAGCAACCACGTTCATATACAGGATGTGCCAATCAGCGAGCTGATAAAAGTAATACTTTGGCCATCTCATGTAGCCCAACAATATAACTGGGATGTGGCGCATCATGCTAAGCAATAGAAATATGCCTGTAGGTTCGAATCTCATGCGGGGATAGTTTTGTGCAAAAAAATTGCTGGATTCCTCACCGCCGTAGGGTGGTTCACAGTTATGGCTTACTCCATCATAATGTCCAAGCTTCCGAAAACTAATAACTGGCTAACTAATTCCATACTCGACATGAACTGGTAACATGGTTCATTTCCTTTCGCCCGGTATAAATATGTAAATCCTATTCTATCATAATTAGCCTAGCCACACACATAGTTAAGTGTAATGCTAACTACTAAGACTACTTATCTCACCATTGTGAGTTTTGTCTTTCACAAATTTCACAAAACATTCATTGTCAGGAACGCAAATGTCGTTGCCCGCAATATTGACATACAAACTGAAGCCTTCTGCTGATTTTAGTGCAAGACGATTTGCAATGGTGTTGCAGAAATCTTTAGCTTTAGTGCTTGATTCGACTTCAAAATTCTGTCAAAGAAAAAAATCAAAATAAAACCTGAAAATCAAGACAAAAAGTATAACTTTACAATAAAAAAGAATACAGGGTGTCCATAAAGTGCCTTTTATAATTTCAATTTTGTTAAGAAGTCAGTGCTCAATATATCTTAACCTGTTAGTTGTTCATTAAATGGTAGTTGTTTAGGTATTTTTACCTCATTTAATACATCTGGAGGGGCAAATAGGAAATCAACAAATTCCCTTTGCAATTTAAAAATTCCTCAGAACTTCATGGACACCCTATATATGTGAACATGGCATCAAGTATCTGATTACCTTACATGGGCTTGAAGATTCAAATTTGTGGGGATAATAATATGCCATAGAATTGCCGGGAATCCTCTTTTATTTCAGAAGAACATGTTATTATTACTTCAAGCTGGAGCACGTTTGTCATGATTTTCTCCGACAACTTGTTAATTTTAACTCGTTTCTTCAATGAACCAAAAATATAAAATCTAAACAAAATGAATACTACCTGGCTTGTGTTGTCGGGAAACCGAATCAGGAAAGTCTCAGAAGCCTGAACTGTTTCCCCTTCTTCTCTCTCAGTAATACCTTGTCCAAGCAATGTACTTTGAATGCAAAAAAAAATAACATTAATATCAAGTTAAATAACAAGGCACTGAGTTATGTTTGCATAAATGGACAAAATGTATAATGAATATTGAGTCTACAATGTTGAAAAGCAGGTTCTACTTTGTATCGGACTCACTTCCAACTGGTTTTCTCATTTCAGAAATTATCTCTACGTAAGCTGCATTAACATGGCCACTGCACATAAATCTAATACATAACTTTACATCTAAATCTAATACATGCTTTTGCCAAATAGTTAACAATCCTAAAATAAGGCAAACTCATGCCAACCCAGTACTTATTGGACACAAATATGTTACATTTGTTCTTGTTGTTCCTGTTGGGATTGTGGTTGTTGTGAAAAAAAAGTTATATTTTCTAATGATGTTTATTAAAATAAAATTTCTCTTTTCTGGTTAAATATAGGGAATGGACCATTTACTGCGTAAAATAAAATATAAAAAGTTACTTTTCAGCAAACTTTTTGAAGGTGTAACTGCTTGGGTAGTCAGCTCTTGTTTCGTCCATGTCCTAAAATGAAATTAATATATTGAAGCAAACACCCAAATTTTGTTTGAATTCGAACTTACAGTGTAGCAGGCATTTATAGCCAGTGAGAGTCTCGACCTTATGTTTATGTACAGCATTGATCTTTTTGGTAAATAGTACAATTGTCCCAACTAACCTTTGTAAATGTTGATTATTTTCTAAAACCTTGTTATCAGTCTGTTATTACATGGTAATTATTGCTTGCTATGTTGGCAGTTTGCAACAGGCTAATAGAGGAACTTGTAAATGTGCAATCCTTAAGTGTGTATCTGTTTAGGGGGCATTTGAACCTTTCGTTGTTGCAGAGGATGCATATGATTCATCTACATTTAGATTATGAGTAGGGCTGGTAATTCTTGAATACCTGAATACCTATCAAGTTTCATTATTCACTAATAAGAAAAGAAAATACAAAATCTTCTATGTGTAAGAAACAGCGATTGAATCTTTGCTTCACAAAAAATTGTAGGATACACTTTGACATCAGGAATATTAAAAAGTGTTCTTATTTATTTAGTTCAGATATTCATTGTGGGGCTCCGTAAATAATAGTATATCGTTTCACAGGCTCTATAACACCAAAAGTTTGAGAACTGGTGTAGAGTAATTAAAACTGACCAATGATTGTAGATAGCAATAAATTAGAACCTGAAAATTGTGATTGCTCTTCAACCTCCGACAAAGAGCTGAACCATCAATAACTTATTATTGTCAACACCCAATTTAGCAAAGACAGAAATATTTTGTTATCCAAGACTATTTCATCAGATAAACAGCAAAACATTGTTGTACATCGACCAAGATTTCAACCAGTGATCATTGAAAATTCATTAGGCAGTATTTTGAAAGCAGAACAAACAAACAATGAAAAACCGAGAAAAACAAACAAAAATCTTCCTAAAATCCTGCAATCATTGAGAAAACCCCCTAAATTGGACAAAATCTTCCCGAAACCAAAAACAGTGAAAAACAGTCAAAAATTACTAAAACCCTCACAAAAGGATGCAAAATTTGTGAAAAATACCAAAACAGTACAAATAATGTAAAAACCTCCTAAGCACTTAAAACTATTGTTCACTAAATTGCTTTAAGCTAACATTAAAAGGATATTCTCTGAGATCAAATTTGTATGAATAAAATCTAGTGGATTGTAGAAAGAGTGAACGAAATCTAAACTTGTACCGTAGTAAATAGATAGTGACTTTTTAACCAACCTTATTACGAGAAACTTTCTGTGGTATTTCCACTTGTTGTTTCTTTCCTGCCAGATTTTCCACATTTTCTTCCTTGTCATCCGATTCCTAAACGAAAAGATATACCTCAATCCAGTTATACCATTCGTGACTGTATTTAGAAAATAGTTAACCAGGTTTTCAGGTGGTAAAACATGGTACTGAACCATGAGACAAATAAATAAAACATTTCAACATGATATTGTAATGTTGGTAATGGGTAGGGTGCGGTGGGTGGGATTTAAACCCGAGATGATCAACCTGTGATTTCAATTAGTTAGGTCTTATGCTTAACCCTCTAAGCCAGTGGAACCTGACTGTTTTTTCGTGGCCCCCTCTTGGAGACTATTAGCACTCAGAACCCTGTTTATCACTTCAGTGGTATTTATAGTGTTATTTTGATTGGTAGATTTTAAATCTCATTATGTTCAAACAATTCATGCTCTAGAAAGTGAGAGCAACCTTAACATTATCAAGCAAAGAAACAGGTAAGAATGGGGAATTTTCTTGTAAAGGTAATGTAAAATCAGCTTTGCACCCGGCATGTTGCCCCCCTTCAACACCTCTCTCCCCACTGGGAGGCCCCAGGCCCCGGTTAAAAACCGCTGCTCTAGGCCATCACACCGACTATCAATATTTGAAATATCAGTTTTGGCTCCAACCAATTCTGATTCTCCTGATTAGAGACAAACCTGCGCATCTGAATTTTCTTTCAACTTCTTTTTCAGTTCAATCAGTAGTCTTTTTTCGTTTTTCTTGCCTTCCAATTCCTGGGTGAAATAGTAACCAGGCTTAACTTCAATCTTCAATTGGCAAAGCCAATTTTTTTTTCCAAAAAGAAAAAAAAATCATGATGAAAATTAGGGAACAATGATATTTACATTACTTGGGAAAGGAAGCCATAGGAAACCAAAACTGGTTATTGATCAGCGACACTCAAGGTTCTTACATCTAATTGATTGAGGAAGAGAATTTCAAAATTACTGATATTAATGATAAATAACATATACATTTTTGCAAATTAGCCAACTAACATCTTTTATTAGAGATTATTACTAGAAATTACCATGTATTGAATGAGCCTTAAGACCGGCCTGTTTGCACTGAGACTCTTTTTTATAACCAATGCCTTTCGAGTTTTTTTTTTAAATCTTGACTTTTATCACCATTAAATTTTTAAAATTTTGACCCTCAAAAATTTAGAAATTTGAGTCTGACCTTGTCTCTGGGGAGTTTGCAAGTACCAACTTCGTCTCCAAGTCTGATATCTTTTCTGATTTCAGTCCTTTGGTAAACCTATCAAACAATTAAATGGGTATTATCATTTACCCAGTAAAATACAAACAACAAATAAAAAAAAAGCTTATTAAGAAACCAGATTCTTCCCGGCTTTGAAAAGAATACCCTATTTATTACACCCTGGCTATGGTGGGATGTATATGTTTTGAACACAAGACATGTAATCTGCTACAACATTTTCTGATCTGACACTTTACCTGCAACTGGTTCTTAAACGGTGGGGCGCCATAAAGGGGCCATTGACAATTTTTTAAGGAGGCGTTATGCTAAATAAAAATGAAAATATTTGTTAAATTTTATCTTGCTCGTCCTATTTTAGTAAATTCAAAATGGGAGTCATGCATTCTTCCCAAATCTTAATGAAGCATTCAGAATCACGCTCACATACGTTCGCCTTCGTATCTTTTGTTGTAGCTAATGTTGGTTAGTTTCTTTTAGGTGGGGTGGAGGACTTGACAAATTCAAAAAGAGGGGGGTGCACGACTTAAAAAGTTCGAGAACTAATGTGCTAGCTAGGCCATCATGCCGCTGAATTAAATATATATATAAATATATATTTTGGGAAATTGGCCTCCAACTTATGCAATACCCAGAAGAATAAACATGCTTCAAATCCAACTACAACAATTAAATACAACAGTCTATATATGCACTTTGTGTTGAAGGAATGAATTTGGTACAATGAACAGTATAACTGAATAAAAACAACTCACTGTAGAAATGGAGACTTTGTAGACTGAAGACGCCGTAGCATCCAGGTCATGTTGAACATGGGAAACAACCGTTGCATCATAGTCCGCAATCCGTGATTGCTTGCGATTCTTTTGCTGGAAAAAAAGTTTCTGTTCTTAGTATTGTTTTAGTTGCACAAAACTCCATTTGCTCCGTTCAATAAACTTTCCTTTGTTCATAATCAATTTCCCACATTCATGGCAAAACTAATGCAAATATTTGAAAGCAAGTATCCAATTTCAATTTTGACAAAATGTTAAAACAATTTAGGGGCAAGGTTTTCACTAAATATTGCAAACGTTAGGCAGTAAGTTGAATTTTTATATAGTTGGCCTAATGAACAAAAAACATGGATCAATATTATTGTTAGGTTTTTTCTTTTACCAAAGTATTTCTTATTCCTGTGTGATTTTATATTTTGCAAGTCAATTGAAATAAAAGTACAAACCAGCTCGGACAAATTAATTTGTTCCTCATCCTTCAATTTGCTTTTTTCTATTTCTTTGCGTTCAGATTCCTGATAAGTTTATGAAAAAAACATAATAGCTGTTTATATATTTTCAGATATCAGTGACTCTCTGTACATGGCCTAGTTTGAAGTTGGGGGTGAATGAGCAATGGTTGTGTAAAAAAAAGAGAAGTTCATTATTACCATGAGCTCTTCCCAGATTACCCTGTGCAGATTCGCAAGTGCAAATCTCGTAGGAAATAGTTATGTGAAAGAGAACCGCTGGGCTCGTAGAACAAAGCAAGTAATCACTGGTCAGTTATCGCTACCACCATCTGGAATGAAAAACTGGTTGACTATTTGCCAGGTACGTAGACTGACTAGTAACTGGTACATTACATGGTTTACCATTTGAATAGCTGTTTCTCCTTTCCCCTAAGACTGAATAGGAATTGAAAATCCTATTCTATCCTAGTCTTACTCCTAGTTATGGTGAAGAGCGCTAGGTTCAATAACAAAAATCCCTAAAGCGAGAATAGCACACAAGAATTTTTTCACACCGAACAACTTTGATTTCGTCTGAAAGAGATGATTTGGTTTGGAGCGTTGCACTAATTTTTTTTTAGATTAAAGATCTTTTGTCCCTAACTTACATAGAGATTATTAAATTGGAAATGCCCAATCTTTCAAATTTTCAAACTGTAAAAATTCAATATAAGAATAAATAATAAGATGAACTTGACTTCTGGCTATGAACATTCCTAACAATATTTTCAATCTCATCACCGGTTTTACCTATGGTGGGGCTTTATGCGAAATGGTTAAACCAAGTGCAAAATTATGAACAAAGTAACTTCACTTTACGCGTCTTGAATATACAGAATAAACACTCTGACATATACACGTTTACAATGGTTAAACTCAATAATGCACACCTTCGAGTAACAAAAGGAAGTGCGTGGTCAGCTGTGGCTATAAAGGTTGTTGCAGTATCACAATGTCGCCCCTGCTGATACTAACATTGAGTCCAGTTAATCAGTATGTCAAGTGAGTAATGAGTCAACAGTGGAAAGCATTTGCTAAATCAGTATAAGCGTATAATTAGTAAATGCCTATAAACAAAGTAACTCCCAAGACACACCAACAGGAATGCGATCTCAAGGTAAGAGAGTGCATGGCTTATTACCTACACATCTGGTTTGCCATAATCAGTCAACAGTGACTGATAATATCACAGGTTATGCTGGGTCCTCTAAGCAAATGCTAGTTGCCAGAAATACAATAAAGATATAGTTAACGACATTTTCATCAAAAATGCAACATTTTCCAAAAAATGCTACAACTTTAAATCTTTTAAGTTTTTCTCACCTGTTGCTTAGCTATTGATAATTTTTCCTGTTCTCTTGCAAAAAGAAGTTGCTTGTATTGTCTTCGTGCAATCATCCCTGTATGTAGAAATAAGTGATTAGGATGACTAGGATCTCATCCAACCTAGACATAACTCTTTAAGTGGCCAACATATGTCTTATGTTTAGTTCATCTGTGAGCTTTTTTATTAAGACAAACTATTTTTCTATATAACAACTAGGCTCAGTGGTGGGGCGCATCGTACTAAGAGATAATAATTATTGATAATTAAGAATACGGTTGTCATCGCACCTTTGATCACTCTGCGTGGGTTCGCAGGTTCTAATCCCATGCTGGAATATTTATTCGCGCAAGGGTTGCTGAACTCCTCGCCGTCGTAGGATGGTTCACATATGATTAAACCATCTTAGTAGATTTTCTATCCCCTGGGATGAATATTTATTATGTCATCAACAACATTGATTTTCAGCTGAAACCCACCTCTCCCACCAGCTTGGATTCTCATTATAGCCCATAGCCTATGTCTATGGTGTCTTCTTATCAGAAAACCACGACAATGAGCTTGGAAACCGATGATTCTCTTCCGAGCAAAATTGTAGCGAAAAGCCAATCGACGTCCTCTCCAGAGAGCTTGTAATCGAGCATATCCAAGGGTCATCTACAAAGCATTAAGGCGAGATTGTTAATGTATCTTAATATAGTCAAGACTGTTGCAATAAGCCTATAACGTGGAATTTATGATATGTGAGAACAAATTAAAATATTACCCATAATGGTTATAAAAAGCATAGGAAGCAGTATTCATGGTATGTTTCAGATTAGGATGTAAATGAAAAACTTTAGGCAACTGGTTAGAGTGAGCCTATGACGTCGGATTTGAGGTATTTTCTAGGTTGAGATGGAAAAAGAACTTTGGGCAAATGGTTAGAGTAAGCATGGTATGTTCTGGGTGAGGATAGATACAAGATTTTTCCAGTTCATTGTTTATCAATCAATTTTGAAAACAATAGTTCAACAGGTTTTCAGTTTATAATAATAATTACCTTATTGTATCTCCTTCTTTGCAAATATCTTTTGCAGAATGCCTCGGCAACCGCTTGGCTTGATTGAAAAATTGAGAAATATATAAGTTAAAGAGTTAGAGCATGGTCAGAGAAGTTTTGCAACAGATAGTGCATGCGGCGTTTCAGGTTTGAATTTCAAGTGTACGATTGTATATGAAGAGATTGTGCTTTACAACAGTTCAAATCCATTTGGATTCGCAATACTGTATAAATACGCTTGTGAATTATTAGATTTTTTTACACTGTGGCGCCAACAAGTTTGTATAAGAAATTACTAATATGGAGGAAAAAGGACAATGTTTTCAAAAGAATATTTGACACTGAAATGCCATTCCATTCAAGTGCAATCAAAGTTATACGGGTATAAGCCGACCTTTTGGTTTGGCTACTTTTTTTTTTATGAGTTTTAAACTCGGCATATATGCAAAGATATGCGATAATTGATATTTGTCATTGCATTTGAATGATCCTTTCGAGCAAAGAATAAATTGTGACTCAATAACCTTCATAGTACTGCTCAGATATTGGCCATCTGTGCCAACTTATAATATATCAAATATTCGGACCTCCTGAAGTATGCGAACCAAGATGTCGCACAACCTGAACCCTAACCTGGTACACAACCTGAGTTCAGGTTGTGCGCCATCTTGGTGCGCATACTTCAGGAGGTCCGAATATTTGATATATTATAAGTTGGCACAGATGGCCAATATCTGAGCAGTACTATGAAGGTTATTGAGTCACAATTTATTCTTTGCTTGAAAGGATCATTCAAATGCAATGACAAATATCAATTATCGCATATCTTCGCATATATGCCGAGTTTAAAACTCATAAAAAAAAAAGTAGCCAAACCAAAAGGTCGGCTTATACCCGTATAACTTTGATTGCACTTGAATGGAATGGCATTTCATAAATTAATACTGCAAACTTGATGTTAGGATTGCTAGGATGTGTGCGCGATATTCAATATTAAATATAAACACTAAAAACGATATTCTGGAGGTAGCGAAGAGCAATATTGAAAATTAATTTCAAATTGAACACCTGGCTGTGATAGGTGCGTATGGTTTTATACGATTTTTAGGGTCGGCCTATATGCATATTTTTATAAATTTGCCGTTTTAGGGGCTGTTTTTAGGGGCAGCTTATATGTGAGGATATACAGTAACCGCCAGTGGGACATATTTTTTAAATTAAGCTGATTATCCAGATGATCTGTGCCTTAAATGACTCACGATTTGAGACTTTGAGACAACATTGTGCCTGGTTCTTTGCTGTACTCAAAATAACTCCTTAAAATTTGAAATATAGGTAACTGGCATATTGTGCTAAGTGTGCAATATTTTAGATTTTATTGGTCTTACTCAGCAACTTGAATGACTTTGCATATTCAAATTATGTGAGTTATAATATTATGTCGTAGGATTGCTAGAACAGTGTTGGGTAGGGGTCTTGCCATTTTGTTATAAAAATGTACAGTGTTTTGTTTTTTCACAAATAATTCACCGGTTTGTTGTATCATGCATTTCAAATTTTCTCCATCATCAAGTTCATGCATCTGGAACAAATAACTGGCTAACTAATCTCACACTCAACATAAACTGGTAACCGGACGAGTAGTTGTGGTTTGCCATATGTTTATGACGTCTTATTGGCTTTTCTCTCCCACGGGATAAATTTGTAAATATTGTCTTCTCTTTAAATCAGAGATCAAATCCAACCAAGTCAATGGAAATGTAAATATGAACTTGTGTCTACTCGATCACTGATTTGATACTCAATGGTGACTTGAACTTTCCCGGTTAGGAAAACGCTCACCTTTGATTACTCTGCGTGGGTTTGCAGATTCGAATTCCATGTGGGGTTCGTTATGTGCGAAAGGATTGCTGGACTCCCCGCCGCCGTAGGGTGATTCACGTAACCCCATATCATCCATAATATTGAGCAATCTTACTGCATTTCTTCTCCCATGTATAATGAGAAATTGCAGGATATTACAATCCCATCCGAGTAAAATGAATCTACATACCTTGTGACATTTCTTCTTGCAGCTTCCAATGACAAGATGTGTTTGTCTTTCAAAAACATTTTATCAAGTCCTTTCTTCCAGTCTTTGTCTTTTACAGTTTCATCCATAATCTTGTTGCAGATTTCTAAACACGAAAGATATTTTCATTAGTAATGACAGCAATGACAGCAATGGATCTGAAAGCGATGTTAATTTTAACATTAATATTTCTATTAATTAATGAATCAACTGTACGAATGAATTGCCTGTTACACATTATTAACAAGATCCTAAAGTGATATGGAATTGGACTTCAGTCATCATTTGTCTCAATTCGTTTTATTTCTAAATTCTTCTGTTTTCAAACATGATGCTGCTTGATAACCAGTATTGATTTTCTGCATCTCCCTCCACCCCTGAATGCGTTTATTTTCAGTTTCTTCAATTAGTGCATGTTTAGCTTGTATTTTCGAATAGCTAAAATAGGCTACTAATAACTGGTCATTACACTGCAATCATTGCTTGCTTGCATACTTGTATGCGGGTGATGACCTAACAACATGCAAATTCACAATTGGTAACAAGCTCAATTTGAATTTTGCATAAAGAGAAACTAAACTTTTCAAACTTGAGATAGAATACAATTCACATATTTATCCTGGGGAAGAGGAAAGTCATTAAAATGGTTCAATAATATGGCAAACCACGCCCTCTCGACCGATTACCAGTATCAGATTAGTTAGCCAGTTATTTGTTTTAAGATGCATGGACTTAATGGTGGAGAGAGCCGTAACCGACCATCGACTACGTGAACCACCCTACGGCAATTATCTCACACATAATTAACCCACTTAATTATTTTACCGATCATTTCGTCTCGATCTTCCGTGGTGACAGTCGAAGGAAGAATCACTTGATACCTATATGCAAGAAAAATTTATTCGCTCAAAGCAACTAAGAATGAGTTGGAAACCAACAGTGATGAAGGTTAACATAAGATAAAAACAACTTGAACACGTAATTTATAGGTTCTCAAAGTACTCCATACAGAGACCCCAGGCTCTGAGAAAAATACTTGGGGGCTTCGTGAGCAATTTTAGCTATTTGCAAGATTTTTATTCTCTTATTAAAATACTGACTTGGCTAAGTTTGTAATTGTCCAAAGAGGAAATAAAGGCATTAATAAAATTTGACAACGTAAGCATCGAAATTTGGCAACAAGGCGGTAATTCAAATATAACATTATCTATAAGTTCTAACAGACAACATTGTGTTACTGTTGTTATTCTTATAAAATTGTTATGGGGTTTATAAATAACACCAAACGTCAGAGAACCCATGGTATAATATTCTAATTGGTGCATTCTACTTACTTAATGACGTCATCTCGCGCATAAAACAAAAATAGGGCTTCACTAATTATTGCGACATTCCTAAATCTCATCATTGGAGGCCACTAATACTAGATTTATAGCTTTAGTTCCATTTCACGGCAATATCTGCTTGACATGACAAAATTGGTTATATCAAATAACAAAAGAGGATTTGTTATCTATTTCGGGGAGAGAAAACGCCGACGAGATGCCTTATTTATTTATTAAACAGCCATGGTGGTCTACATATTCAATACAATCTTGTCAAAAATAAATAAAAAAGGTATCTTTTTAGCATTTGTCTCGCCGGGATGGATAACAAAGTCTTTTATGTTATTTAATATAATCAATTTTGGGTGCTTCCATAGTGTGTGTACCTGGTTAGGATTAGGCCATAATTTTAATCCGATTTTCCTTTTTTCAGTTCTATTACGAGTTTGAGGACTGTCTGTGTTAGCCAAGTGCATATACTCCCTGCTCATAGGTTTCAGTCCATTTACACAAATTGATGTAAAGTAGTCGAACAAAATTAATTACCTCCATATTGGTACACGCACTCTAAAGCAGGGTGTGCAAAGTTTTTGAACCAGGGGGGCCCAATATTTTGCCCACCTAGACCGACGGGCCATGTAAGTGTGGTGTGGGAAGTTACATTTAATGAACAATATTTACAATGTCACAAAAGCCAAAGTGGAAAACAATAGGGCTTGTGCCAAAGCTAAATTTGATTGCAATCTCAACAATTTCATCAAGCTGTTTTTTAGCTGAAACATCAAAATTTGTACACACACTTTCGAGGCGCCCAATTTAAGCAATTACCCCCCATATTTAACAATCTTGTCAAAAATAAATAGAACGAGCAATTTTTACCTTTCGACAAATTCCTTGAAAGTGTATCTGATTGGATAACAATCTCTCCGTATTCGAATTGTATCCATCATGCCAGAATATCTCAGTTGACGGGCAATCAACAAACGATCAAAGTTCTTGCAATGAGAAATAAGTAATTGAATAAATTGTAATTTTTTCACCCTACATGAAATTTGGGCCACAGTAACATTTTCCGGTGGGCCGTGAACATATTAAAAATTGCTGAAGTTATTGATAATTTGGTATAAATCAGGGGGGGGGGAGGTTTTTGTAACAGGAGGTCAAAAATTTCTGGACTGGACTGGCGGGCCGTGTGAGTTTGAGTAAAAAGTTACATTGTATGAACATGATATGCCTCGTGCCTAAACTAAATTTAATCATAATTTCAACAAATTCCTTGGGCTAGTATTGGCTAAAAACTTCAAAATTAGTTTGGTTGTGGCAGCATCATGCGGGCCAGATCGAATCACCCAACGGACCGGATTTGGCCCGCGGCTCATACTTTGCCCATGTCCGGTATAAATTGATTGAGGTAGTAACAAATTATGAGGCAGTTTTTAGAAACTGAGTAGTTTTTCATTTTGATTAAAAAAAAGTAGAAATGTGTCTTTTTCCAAGAAGAATTTTTCGTTTTCCTTGTGGTTTTTCTCTTTCATGAAAAAATTGATGAGCCACAAAATTTTTGTGCAGCGAAAATGGGCCACGAAAGAAAAAAGGTTGAGAACCATTGAGCTAAACAGTAATTGGTACCCGCATAAAAAAAGATTATTATTGAAAGAAAGTGATATTATCGTTAAAAATGACTCCGAACATAAACATATGAGTAACTATGGCAGCAGGAAGACACTCATTGTAGTACTTGTAGTTATAATGATCTTGTGGTAAAAATAATTTGACACCAATTTGTTGAAAAGATTTAAGGTCTCTGGTTGAAACCCCATACCCACAACCTTACCAAGGCAGGGTGTAATAAATTGGGTAGACAGTGTAGATTCCAGTATTTTCCAAAACAATAGTATATCCCCACTGAGCAGTGGTTATTTGAAGAGGGTCGTGTTTAGAGTGAAAGGATTATGAAAAACGTCAAACAGAAAAAAATATTGCACAACTCACATTAGCTTTTTTGAACTCATTCGGCTTTATGCATCTGACAAAGAATGGCTGACATTCTCCCAAATCCCTAACAAGATTGTTCAATGATTTTTTAAATTGCTCACAAAGTGTCTGGTTTCGTCGAAGATCAGAAACATTTAGTTCTAGGCATAATACAAAAATGCATTTGTTAGAGCTGTAGTGTCATTGTACAGTATGAACCTATGGATAGTGTTGTTGTTGATTGTATTCTTTTTGTTGTTTTATTTCAAAAATTTCTGTGGGTAAAATTTACCCAATTTGTTTCAAACAATTGAAAACGACTGATATATTGAAATCACTGTCACAAAAATCAAATGTTTCGAGTTCCAGTAATCATTTCAATAAGATTACTGTACTATTCATTGTAGCGGTTCAAGTAACACCCAGTTTATTGGGGTCTTCATCCACCATAGCGTTCATACATCTGGGACGAATAACGAATTTACAAATTTTCAACAGCCAACCTGGCCATGATTAAGCCATCTTATTGACTTTCCTGGCTCGACAGTATGGCACATCATGCCAAGCGTTAGGAATACGCTCACCACGGCACCTCTAATTACCTTGTGTGGGTCCGCAGGTTCGAAACCCATGAGAAGATAGTTATGTGCGAGTGGGTCGCCAGACTCCTCGCTGTCATGGTTCAGAAAACCACTGGTCGGTTATGGCTTACTACACAATCAAGTCCTTGCTTCTGAAAAAACAATTAACTGGCTAACTAAACCCTTACCCAACATGGACTGGTAACCGGACGAGAGGCCATGGTTTGCCATATGATTGAGCAATCTTATCGGCTTTTCACCTGGGATGAATATGGGGAATCTCTCCTATCCTAGCCAAAACACATCATTCACCAAATAAATTTCTACCTTCCTGAAAAACTGACTTCAAAAATTCATTTTTTGAAGACCGGATCAAAGACAAAATATCAGCATTGAATGAGTCCCTGTTGCGTTCAAGAAATTCTGAAATTAGGTTGAAAGTCATAAATAAACTCAAGTGAAATCCATTTTTGTGTTCAAAAATAAAAACTATATGAAAATGTATTGTTTCCATTGTTAAAGATAGTCAGTCGTCCAGAAGCGTAGCCAGGGGGTTCGCATACCATGGCACCCCATACAAAATTTTCAATGTAAAAATATAAATTAGACGACATTAGCATTGAGAGACAAGTTACGCCTTTTCCTACTCCGCCTTGCTCGATTCTTTAAGGTCTGAAAGTCTTTGAAATATTTTTGGATATCAGTGGCCGTTTTAACCTGACCTTGTTTGAAGCGAAAAAGCAAGTAAGCAATCGTGTTCTATCAAAATAAAATTCAGTTCAAGTTTGGGGCTGGCTATGGTCTTGGTTTAGTCTAGGATAAATTATGGTCGCATGGTGGAAATGTTTTCATCGAAGTGACCGATGAATCAGTAAAAATTGTATTGTAATGAGTTTGCTAGGCAAAGCTGAACAAAAAATATTCAGTCCGTCAATAATACAGAATCTCCATGTTGCATAGACTCATGTTTGGATTAAAAAGCATATAGAATGTTATTTAAAAAATCTTCCAATCAATCTTATATAGATAATGATACTGAAATAAGCTAAACTTGAGAGACTCGCTTTCTATATTTGCTTATTTGGCCACTTTATGTGATTTTCAGTAAAATTGTCATAATCTTGGATATAATATACCTACCAGTAGTTTTATATCTGACAGGTCCAGCAAAATGTCTGATTCCAAAAGTGTCATCATTCCGTGACTTGGGCACATCGAAATATTTACTTTTACCATGCTTGCTGATAAGCTTGTCCAGCATTGTTCGGTCGGTACCCTGTGTAAGTTATTGTAATTAATTTTAAATTATTAATTATTCAAATTAAATCTTCTGAAGCATAAATCTGAAGTAAAATAAAGCACAAGTGAATGTTGCTAACTGAATAGGGAAAATAAATGTGCAGCGAATGGCTGATGCTAGTGGTAAGTGGGTAAATAATGAAGGAAACAACAACACACAACAGCACAGCAATTATTGTTGTCTAATTTTAAAACACTACAACAATCATCTCTGGACTGCAGCTCGAAATAAAGCATTCTTCCCCATTAAACCTATGCATTTAAATGAATAACAGGTTCACTAATCCAATACCCGACATGGACTGGTAATAGGCCATGATAAGCTATATGATTAATCCGTCTTATCGGCACCTCCCAGGATGAATATGAAAATCCTAACTCATTCCAAAGAAATTTTTTGGCAAAATTTGGCGAGAGCTTTCGCCCGAACATTAAAAAGTATCCTGAGTAGATGTATTGGAAACAAAAAACTATTACTTTTGGGAATCTTGCTTCTTCCGTAATGAGTGCCAACACATTCATGGGCTGATCTGCAATCATATTAAGAATTTCCTGAAAATTAAAAAACATGAAATTAAAAAAATGTAAATATTAAATTTATAATCTGAGCATACCATAGTAATACCTAATCCCATACCCAACTTGAACTGGTCTTATTGGCTTTTCTTTCGCAAGGAATAGGTATGTAAATTATATCCTATTTTATTGTTTTAAAATGTAGAAACATTATTGATTGATTTGACAAGGGTAGTTTGCTAGAAGGGCCCTGCTAAGTGTTGGAAAGACTTGCGTTGCATTGCTGATTACCCTGTAAGCAAGTTTCAATCTTCATAAGATGATGGCTTATCACTGTCATATAAAAATTGAGAGATTGAGATTGTAATGATCTTGTACAACATGGCTTATAGGCTGGTCTGTTTAATCAATCCATATATTTATATTACAAGATTCACGCCTCTGAGGGAATGAGAAGATCTAGTTTTTTTGATATAGGGTGTCCATTGAGTCCTAAAAAATTTTTCAAACTGCAAAGGGAATTTATCCACACCATATATTGTTTTGGCCGTCACATATGTATTAAATCAGGGTGGTCCAAGGTTGCGAGGTTGGCGGCCGCAAAAACTTTTGAAAATGTCTTGCGGGCCGCAGTCGGAGAAAACCCAAAAGTGATCAAAACATCGTGAATTTACTCACTTCAAATATATTTATAAATTAGATTTTACCGCTCTAATCAGGTATTTGAGGAGGATATATAAAGCTTTTAGGTATTGAATTGCTTGTCAAAAATACCGTGGTATGTTCGGTATCTTTTCTCGTGTTTGGTTTTGTAATGTCTTAAAAGTATATTCTTTCGGATATTACTTGAAAACACACCAGACGCTGTGGATTGACGTTGTTGTGGGTAAGGAAATACGTTTCCTCCCAGTTTACCTCGATCACCTAATTTTATTACTTGTAGCGTGAGCAGACCAGTGCTATTGTCGAAGAAAAACCAAGTCCGTCTAAGTTGGGACTCCGGACCCAGCTAAAAAAACTGGATCGCGCGGCGCTAAGTCAGCTCCGCGGTACGTCACTGCTGTCAAAATAGCCAACGATTGAAAATAGAGTGTTTTGACTAAAATAAAGGCACAAAACGTCTCTTCAAATAAGGAGTTACTTGACGCGAGCTTAAGGTTTGAAGTTTAGATTAAAAAGCACGACTCATATCAACGGCTTGGTCCTGTCTGCACCCGACAATTCATTTTCCTGGTACCGATCACAGGACTTCATTCCCATATACTGATATAGCAGCGTTTCCCAACCTTTTTTGGTCGCGGACTATTTTCTCACCGGCGAAAACCTTTGCGGATTCAAGGTGCGTTAATTGCAACCGTACTCTGTGCGAAGAAGCAATAAAACCAAACACAACAGAATTTTAACGAGTTTCAAAATTGGAAATTTGCCGCAATTACGCGTTTGTTGAAAAAAAAGTCAATTTTTTTAGTGTATAATGGCCATTTTTGTCGCACAATATTCAATCCGTGACAACGACGACAATTTAAAATGTCTTTCTATTTTAATTCAATTGTGTTCATGGTAACTCGCGCTTGCGTCGACTTAGGACTTACGACTAGGGATGGGCATTTCGAATAGAATATTCGAATCGAATCGAATATGAAATTATTCGAATCGGTTCAGTGCAAAATTTCGAATCGCCACCATCTTGTTTTTTCCTTTGCTACAATGGTCGAGGTAAATTTCTCCATTTTTTTTTATTGAAGCCATATTTTTTCAACGCAATTCTGACATATGACTCTTTTCTGTAGTGATTTATTGATAAAAACGTGTTTTTTTATTGTGTGTGAACGCTCGAGTGATGTATTCTATGTTTTTAGTAATTTATGTGCCTGGGGGACTTAATACAATAAGAATGATACAGACAATTTCATGTATCCCAAGTATTCGAGATTCGATTCGATTCGAAAAAATTATTCGATTCGATTCTGAAATCATCAGGTCTTTGAAAATGCCCAGCCGTACTTACGACAGGAAGAAAGCATTACTTCTTTTAAAATGCCACGGCAATCTGCGAACAAAATAATGTGAGAATATATTGCCCGATTATATTAGTTTTGGTAAATATTTTTTGCGATCTTGCGAATTTTTAATCGCCATTAGAAAAATCTTACTACCTTCTATAAATTTCCAGAAAGTACAACTTGATTCAGTACTTAATAATAATATATTTGAAGTATATTAGTAAATGAAAAATGAATATTCATCGCCTTGCTTTATTATGACTTAATGGTGATCATTTTAATCTGCGGCTGTGTTGACGAAATAAAAGCAGTACTACTAAGAAAATATCATGACGATCCGTGAACACAAAATTGCCTGGTAACGTGCAAGATTATATTTTATTTTGATTCGTATTTTTGTGAGTTCGACAAATCTGAACTGTTCGTACAATACTGACGGCGGTCCAGTACTGTACGTACCAATGTGGAGGCAGCAGTGGCGGCGCGTGGTCATTTTGACAACCGTGGCACGCTACTGCGGGACCAAGTCACCCCCATCTACGGGGACAGGATGAGCGCTGTAAGTTCTCCCATCATTTTATGAGTATAAAAACCATTCCATCGGTAACAACCAATCGGCAAAAGCGACAATTTTTAACGATAAGAAAGTGTCTTTAAAACCGTCCAAGTCAAGGGATTAATAAATATAGACATAGTTTATTTTGAAACCTCTTTCAAAAGAAAAGGCAATATTTACCCAGATAAATACAATGACATATTAACAGAAACTTCGGGAAAGCAGACAAAACCTAAAATAAGGTTTAAAACGTTACTATGAAGAAAGGAAAGTTAATGCAAAGATAAGGACATGCGTCGCTCACTCATAGATATACATGCTGCTAGACTTCTACTGCTTGAACATATATGCAACACGCCGCGGTTTCTTGGAAGCAAAATGCTCAATAACGCGCTGATTAAAGTCATGCATCCCAGAAATAACGTCTCTGTGAATGGATAAAACAGCCAAGGAATTTAATCTATCTTGCTTCATTGTGTTTCTGAGATACGTTTTAATACGCTTCAGCGTGCTGGATGTTCGCTCTGCGTCGGCGGAAGAAATAGGCGTCGTCAAAATGATGTCCAGAAATTTTGCAGACGCCGCAAAGGTAGTTACTAGAGTGTTATCTATGAGGAACCCATAGAGCGCGCAAGTTGATGTGATGTTCAAAAAAGTTCGATTGGTGTATATACATCGCAATTCATTTTCCAATTTACCCACGTTTATCATGGGGTAAAATTTGGAGACAGTAGCCAACAAATGGATGGGAAATTGACGTGCAAATTTTGAAAAATTTTTGGGGTTCATCAAAGAGAACGCGGCAAGGTGTTTAGTGCGCAGACGATCGCCTATTTGATTCACCAGAATGTCACAGCATTCCTTTGCAGACAAAATCAAACGCTGCGTTGTTTGCCCGCGGCGTAAAAAAGCACTCCATGTGTCGTCGTATTTCATTGTTTCCCGGATACGAGATACAGCATCGCAGAAGTCTCAAATACACGACTGCGCAGACGCTCCATCCATTAGCCTTGACTGCAATGCGCCGTATAATACATCCACGTGATAGAATATTGTGGAGAAAAAAGCGAGAAAAAATGAAAACTCACCATCTTCTAGCAGACGCTTTAGACCTGCCGCCTCCCTCACAGAGCGTTCGTCCCAAAACGTAGAGCTCTGAATGCCATTGAAACACTCAATGAGCTCAGACCTAATTTCGGACACGCCCTGCACCACGCGTGATTGGATGTTCCAACGTGTTGGTGCACAAGCTGGGAGACGGCGGCTACATATCTGGCGAAGGAGGTCAGAGCGCTTCGGCAAAACGGAAAAAAATGAAGAAAACCCCGAAACATTTGCAAAAAATATACGGACGAGAGGGGTATCAAGACACATATTTTTAATAACGAGGTTAAATTGGTGTGCATAACAATGTAAAAAATGCGCATGAGGAAAATCTTCTTTTATATAAACTTGAACACCATGTTTCGACCCACTCATGACTGCCGCGCCGTCATAAGTTCGAGCTATCAATTTTGACTTCGCGTTGTAAGGCTGTAACACTTCTTTCAGTACAGCCAATATCCCGCAAGCCGTGCGATCAACCATTGGTACAAAGCTGTGAAATCTCTCGGTAGGTTCACCATCTTTCACAAACCGAAAAATCACAGCCAGTTGGGAAACGCACGTGATGTAAGTTGTCTCGTCAGACTGAATCGAAAGGAACTGGCAATTCTCAATTTCCAGAGCCAAATGTTGTAAATAAATTTTATACATTGAGTCGAGCAAATCATTTTGGATATCCTTAGATGTCCATTTCGAAACAGTTGCGGCATCAAGATGATCTCTCAATACTGTATCTAGGGATGCGGTGTATTCCACCATATCCAAAAATATCCCTCTATTAGAAGAGCCAGCCCGTTCATCGTGCCCACGGAGGGACAGCTCGTGACAACCAATGAACTTTAAAACATCTATCAATCGACCGAGAACATGGCGGTTTTTCTCGACGTTTTGGTTGTGCCGATGAATAGAAACCGCGCGTCTTTCATCCAACTGTGCTGCAATATTAACATTCCCGAATGTTCGGTATTTTACTGCATTGTCCAGATGCTCCATAGAAGAATGATGATCCCTGGCACGCTCGGAAAGATGTTTAAAATCTCTAAAACCAAATTTACACTAACGTGAGTCACGGGCGGTAGCAAAAAGTGGGCAATAAAAACAAAAAAGTGCATTTTTGTCCTCGCTGTAACACAACCATTCGTGTTTTTTATACCAAGTTTCTGCGCAGAATGTACGCCGATGCTTTCCTCCGTCATGGGATTGTTCCAGTGAACAATTTTTTGGTTGATAAGGCCCAAGACTTGTACCTCTAATTTTTGTTCCAGCGGCAGCTGCGAAAACGGAGTGCGAAGTAGTGCATCAACCTTATTCATTATGAGGTCTAAGGCTAAGAAATGCGATGCCGGAAAGAAGGGAGGAGCTCAAAAGGAATGTGGAAAATCGAAAGCAAATGGACTAAAGGTCTCTAACTGATTCAAATAGCGAAACAAGCGACAAAAACGAAGGCGAGGAAACTGTCAACTCTTTAAGCAACCAACGGACGAGAAGGAATGCGTGAATATGTCAACACGTTGTTGTAAGAAACGTCGGCATTGTGTCGTCATAATTTCGGAGCTAGCCCCGATCGGCCCCGATGAATTAGTGAAAGAAACAGAAAACAAACGAGACAAACGCGGCGAGTGGAAGATAAAAGAGAGAATACGATATACAATGAGCAACCGGGGCAAAATAGGCGTCGCCTCGTCGACGTTCGGTGGAGGCTTTGCGAGCAAAAAATGAACCATGTCGGGAGAATATGGCTAGTGTAGACAGTCTGTGCAACCGATATTGAGGTATTTTTTGAATATTTTTTATTATACCGAAAAAACAACCGGGGCATTGCCCCGGTTGGCCTTATTGACGCGCCGCCACTGGGAGGCAGTAAAGAAAAAAATCCTAACGGAAAATGCCCTGGTACGTATACTACAGTAGCACCCGAAATTTTGAGATTTGCAATGTCAAAATAAGCATCATAAAACAATCATCATAAAACGCGAACCATCATAAAACAAAACTTATGGTGTTCTCCGTTTTATTTTTAGTATTTTGTATTGCCGCTATTAAATTCAGAAAATTCGGATTTCCACCATTGACATCTACCAGAAAAAATAAAATTATTCCTCGTTGTTCGAACTCGCGAGAAACACCACTTAGGTATCTATCGAAGCGTATGCAGACTCGTGTGTTTTCGTCGGAAATCCGCAAGTTTGGCGACGCGCAAGTGACCTGTCGCGTCACCTGTTTCCAAATTTTCGAATAGTAAATTGCTATTCTAATAGTTGAATATTCGAATATATGCCCAGCCCTACTCAGCCCTACTCGATTAATGTTATGTGAATAAACTTGCTTTTTATTTGTTATGTAAATTCTAACGTAAATCTTAACTTGGCGGATAATTCAATTCGCAAAAATGTTTGCGGCCCGCTGCAGTAAATTTCTGGCTCGTTGCGGACTCATTCAAACGCTCCGCGGACTCATTTGAGACCGCGGACTCGGGTTGGGAAACACTGCCATATAGGCACTGTCTCGACGTTTATAGATACAACATTGAAATTCCGAGATTTTAACAAACATTAAAACCCGACATCGGGATTACAAAAAGGACTATTCCCAGTTGAAATAGTTTAACCCTTCTACAGCCGGAACGGCCATAATACAAATATCTGCCAATGGTTTATTGTGAGTTAAAATTGTTCCGCGGGCCGCACGGAATGTGTCCGGGGGCGCATGCGGCCCGCGGGCCCCAGTTTGGTCCACCCTGTATTAAATGAAGTAAAAATACTTGAACAATGATTGAAAAACAACAACCCTGGTAAAGGAATTGAGAACTGACTTCATAACAAAATAAGAATTGTAAAAGGGATTTATGGACACCCTGTATAACCACCCTACGCATCAGTAGCTGGTTGTGTAAATACTATCATAAAGCGTAGGTTTGGGATACATCGTGTAAGTATGTGGCATCATTACCTGGTTATCAGTGAATTCAATGTGTCTCCATTCAATATCTTCTTCGTCGTATTCCTTCTGCTCAAGCTTGAAAATGTGTCGAACAAAGAATTGTTGGAGTTTCTCGTTTGCAAAGTTGATGCAGAGTTGTTCAAAACTAAAAATAGATCAGTATTTCTCAAACTATTATGCACTATTTTTCTCTTACAGCAGAACAAAAAATGTAAACTTACAAACAAATTCATTAAAAAAAAACAAATACCTGACTAATCCCATACCCGACATGGACTGGTAACCGGACGAGGGGCCGTGATTCGCCGTATGGTTAAGCCGTCTTATCAGTTTTCCTATCCCCCGGGATAAATATTTAAATAAACTACTTATCCTTCTTTTATGCTTCCTTGTCAATGAATTTGTGTGATGGGAGGATGCTGTAGGAACAGTGAAAATACCTATTCTAAGTGATTCAAGGGACTTGCTGCATGCGTGAAGCTTAATAACTGCAAAAAGTTGCAACAATGCTGACTTTTCCAGAATACGTTAATCGGCCCTATTTTTTTTGCCCACAATCATATTTTTTCACCCACTAGACTAGAGAGAACCACTGAAATAAATGCTGTTTATCCCGTTGATTAATATAAAATAAGTTCTCTCTCCAAGCTGGATAGCCAAAGTGTTCAAGTTTTATGACAGCTGGAATCCTTTTCAAGAGAATTAAAATAGTAAAAGTTGGTGACACAGGTATGTGGTATGTGTAATGTTGGTATGTGTCTTAGGTCTAATTGTTGAGTTCAAATAAATCTCAGATCTGAAATATCGCATTGTTTGCAAATGTAGTAACATTCAACATTATCAAATTGGTTTTACATTACTGGCTCAGAATGATAATGAAACAATTGTTAAAAAAACGCAAGCTGTTGATATCAAGCACAGACATTGTACCTGCTATTTTCATAGTTTTTAAATCCGAAAATAATTTTGAAGGCCAAATCAACCAATAATTTTAGTTTTTTTTAAACTGGATCTTCCCCCATATTATTGTGATAATCTTGTTAAAAAAAAACATATGCTATTGATATTAATCACACATCGACCTTTCATAGTTTTCAATTCCAAAATGTAAAGCTAATTTAACCATAAGTTAAGTTCTCGCTTTAATTGTCTCTTCCCCCTTGTCGACAGCCTGCCTCATAGCGATAATATGAAACTCTACAGAAAATATAACATAGTATTATTTGTGTCATGAAACTTATACCCATTATTTTCAAAATTTTCAAATCCAAAAATATCCAGCAATCCAATGGAGAGGATTCCACTCTTGTCTTGACTTTCTTCTCTGCTGTAAATGACACTGTTGATTTTGCTGACTATCCGAATGAAGATCCGACTATACAAGCTCTGGAAATAATGATGAAATATGAATTGGATCAAGCTAATTAACAACTTGAAATAGGAGAAAAAATTTGTCTGAGCTGCCCGAAGCAGATAAAAATCTAAAGTCGTTAAAAGCTACCTTATGATGTCATATTAGGGTAATAAAAGATAGGATTTACCTATTTATCCCAGAAGAAAGGACAGCTAATAAGGTGGCTTAATCATATGGCGAACTACAGCCTACCGAACGGTTACTAGTCCATGTCGGGTATGGGATTAGTTAGTCAGTAATTTTGTTTTCAGATGCATGGACTTGATGGTGGAGGAAGCCGCAACCGACCAGCGGTTACGTGAACCACCCTACAGCGGCGAGGAGTCCAGCAATCCTCCCTCATATAATTAGCCTCGCATGGAATTTGAACCTGTGATTTCACGCAAGGTAATCCAGAGATCCGTTGGCAAGCGTATTTCTAACACACAGCACGATGCCCACAGAAGGGGGTGACTGAAATCAGAGAAGTAAAATAGAAGACACGCGTGACAATAAATTCTATTCTATTGAAAATTCTATGACAAGGAAAATAAGGGAAACAAGGAGAACAACTATCGAGTTAAAAAAAGAAATTATTGCAAAATATCAGAATGGCGTCTGATCTCGACTTACAGTTAGACATAGCAAAGTCTAACATTTTCATATTTTTAAGAAAAAGGGAAATGATAAAGATAGCAAATATTGCACTGGGAGCAACAGCAATTATTGTTGTTTAGGTACACATTCTATTAATATTTTGGGTATTTGGAATGCGTAAGAACATATTAAAATATTTTCTTATGGCAAAAAAAATCTCGGTACTCAAATAAATCTGTAGTCGAACACCAATCCCAAACAAATCATGTTCGACAGGTATCACTGTAGTTGTATAAATGTACCTGTAATAATTTAATTTTAATTCATTTCCCTCTTAAAGTTTGTCTGTATAGACATGTGCATGATGTATCACTTGACTAAAAAAACTTACTTTTATATAAGCATCTTTAGCATCTTGTGCTTGCAAAATGCTTAATTTGGATGTAACTTTTTCATTTCCCATCTTGCGAGTCTGCTGAGTAAGAGCTTTTTTGAAAACTTCACAATTCACCTGGATACAAATAAAATATAAATTGTTATCTAAAAGTTAGAATTAAATTTTTTCAAATTTCCTGGTGATTATTAAAAAAGTCAATAAAATGGTGGATGCGATTACCTAGTGGTAAAACTTGAAAAAGAGTAGCCTAAGACTTAGTTGTGCAACAGATATGTTTCAAGAATAACAGCAGTTTTATAATATTCATGTGATAATCAGTAAATCTATGCATTTGGAACAAATACCTGGATTACTATTCCTATACTCGGCATGGACTGGTAATCGTACGAGAGGCCATGGTTTGCCATGTGAATAAGCCATAGTATGGGCTTTTCTCTCCTCCAAGATAGTCAGCCAACGCCAGAGGTAAACAAACATAACGTTCAAAGTTTTTATTCGTTTTTTCTCTGTTCATTTTTATCTCATGTGTACCCTTTCTATTTATTATGCAGTAATCTAATTCTAACATTTATATGTTACGGGTTTGAAGCATTATTATAGTTTTTACAAATATAACGTCTGAGTTTTGTGGGGCCTAAACGAACTTGGGCATTTACAGGTAAAATGTGTCCCTAATTACAAAATGTTCTACTTACGAGGGGGCTTTCGGAACGACTAAATTTTGTAAGTAGAGTTTTTACTGTACCTGCATGCAAAACCTAGGCACAATACACGAAACAGAAGGCGAACAGCGATATGTGCAAAAGTCAGTTAATGACAGGTTCATATCTCACATTTTGGTATGAAAAATGCAAGTCAAATTAAGTATAGATACTTACTCCCAATAAATCACTTGCAGATTTTAATCCTGTGCTGTGGACAAGCTCACAGGCGCCATCACTGTTGTTAATCATTGTTTCTTCAAATTTGAAATTCCCTAAAATAAATAAAGCAGCATATTTGAATCGGTCCAGATATCTTGACGGTTAGCTCATTGTACTAATTGCTAGGCATACATTTGCCGTCAAACTTCTGATTACTCTTACTCTGGTTTGCAGATTCATTGAATATTGTTGTAAACTGAATGTCCGGGGAATATTGACGTTGGTGAGCCGAAATGTTAAAGAACAAACTTGTAAAAGTATGATGCCAGATAGTTGGGTCAATCATTATAGACAGTTTGAATCTTTTGCTCTTCACAAATTTTGTTCAGATCAATTTTTTTGAAAAAAGGAATGGAAAAGGGTAGGAGAATGAGGCTGTAGCTGAGCAGGAAAGAAATGAAAAACCAATTTGAAGCTGCTTGTCATTGTGAACTATCGTATCTCACATGAAACAACTGGAGTAACAGAGAACAAAGAATTTTACTCAGATGTCTAATTCGATTCCAAGAAATATTCGAGTTGTCTTTAGGTTTTATCTCCCAGAACACACCATGAATCCCTTTCCATATGCCCTTTTTTGTCCACACAAAACAAAGCAGCAATTTGCACATTATACTATTGACTCCATGGGATGCAGAAACAACGAAAAGGTCAATTTTCAAAAAAAATAACTGACTCTTTTTGAACCCAGGGCTGAGAAGTTTCAATGAAATTAAAAAAAAAACTGCTTCAAGCATTTGTTAATTGTAGTGGGTAAGTTCAATTCAGTATTGAGCCGGTTCAAATTTGGATAAGCCTAAATTTGAAAACATAACTCGAGCTCGGAAAAAACGAAGACAGACTGGATGCCTACAAAAGAATGAACTGCATTCCACTATTAAACATTGCATTCGAGAATAACGAGTTGTGTGTTACTATGTGCCATCTGGTATCTTGGCCGGATAGTAAGTGAGCGACTGTCAAAATAGCGACTGTCATAATGGGGACCGCATTAAAACAGCGACTGTTATGATAGCGACTGACCTCATGTTAGGTTTAAGGTTAGTCCAAATAAAATGTTGTTTTAAAGTCTCTTTTGGTTCCAATCTTTCACTACGCAGTGTTTGCAAGAGTGCGTGTGCGCGTAAGCCTTGGATTCAAAAAAAAGAAGTGATGTCGCTGTAGTGACAGTCGCTATTCAGAATAGCCGTGCCATCTAGTATGGGATAGGTGAGAAAGTTTAAATATACACCATTCTAGGACTGCTGCATGTTAAGTATTTAATTTATTCGACTCACCGACATGTAATATAGCTGCAAGCAACTTGTAAATCTGATTGATTTCATCCTCCGATATTGAGAGATCCTGGTTGTAATATAAATTTGCGAATAATTTCAAATTAATTTATAAATTTTTTTCAGGAAAATGGAACCTCAACAGCTTGAGGGAGAGGGAAGCCATCAACATGGTATAATCATACGGTAAGGCGCGACCTTACATCCGGTTACCGAACAGGGGTTACATGAACCACCCTACAGCATCAAGGAGTCAAGAAATACAGAAAAAAAGACTTTCCAAATTTGTTCTGAAAAAGCAATTGGTTGATTAAATATTAGTTTAGCTTCTTTGCCTGAATTGAAAAACTTGACGAATAATTTGCTTGTTAAGTAATAGCACATTACATGCTGCTTACATGCTTAATAGCTGCTTTGTATAAAGCCTTGCTTAGATTGAAATTTGTATAAATGTAAAAAAAGTTAGGCAAACCACTATATGGGCACTACAATTGAAAATTTCGTCAAAATAGAATTTACAGAATAAGATTTACATATTTATCCCGGGTGAGAGGAAAGTGATAACACAGCTTAGTCATACGGCAAACCGTGGACTTTTGTCTGGTTACCAGTCCATACTCGAGTACAAACTTTTTATCTATCAGTAGGTGATAGCTACTTGTTTAAAACCTTGTTTAGAGTACAATTTAGAATAAAATTCTAAAGTTACTATAGTTACAATGGTATATGAAATAAAATTGTACTACAGCCTACATATACGTGAACCTATCTGTACCTTCATTCCACCGACAATAATTTCAAACTCCAATTTATCGTCTCTTCCTTCACATTGTAGACATGATCCCTGAAAAGAAGAATGAATTTTATATCAAGGCTCTTTGACAAGGGGTGCATTTACGCCCTGCCCTGGCTGCAGGAACTGTTTCTGAAGGCTGTGAGAATGATGGATTGTCATTAAAACATTAGTAAAAAAAGGACTACGGTAAGTGTGCTGTTAATAGGTGTGACGATTTGTTAGGGTCGGCTTATGTGCTATTTTTTGTAAATTCACCATTTTAGGGCCGTTTTCAGGATGGTCGGCTCATATGCGAGGATTTACGGTAAGCCTAAATGCTTCTAATTAATGTGATTTATTAAATAGTTGCAAATCTAATATTTGTTCAGTTTTAATATCGCGTTGTTTTAGAGCTGGGCCAAATGCGGCCCACGAACGAATTTCAAGTGTCTTTTGAATAATCTCACTATTATTGACATATTATATATATGTACATATATATACATATACAATCATTGATGACATATTTAATCATCGTAAACGCGTTTTTCATAATTCACTCGACGCGATGAATATTTCTTTCCCATTTAAACATTTCTCTCCCGACACTCTCAAGTCCATTCATATTTTTTATTTGAACATTGCTCTCTTTTACTTACTCTCTCGATTCGATTTACGTTTCCTAAATATTTTTCTGAACATATTTAAATCTAGTTAAATTATTTGACGTCATCTGCTGCTGAACCCAGCATTTATTGTGACTTCATGGTCTTTTGCGACTCCTCGTCAATTGCAGTCGAAACATTGTGTGTCTGTTTCCTCTTATTTTTACTCGATTTATTATTGTTTGTGTTTACAATGTTTCATGCATGACAAAAATAAATGATCTAAATATGAAATTTATTGCATAAAAACGAAATTTTTCCTTCTGATCTATGCCGCAACAGTGGCTGTTATATGACGTTTGCTTTTTAGTAAGTAGCGTAGGCAAATTAACATGTCATTTGTTGTTATAACAGTTGTTATACTGTTGTAGTAATTATTAAACTGTAGTTGTAATTATCAGTCAAATTAAGTTTAATATTTTAAATTTTGCATTGGAATGGATGAAAATATGTAGAAAAGTTGGTGATGATGGCTGAGCATTCCTAAGTTAATGAATAGAATACACATCATGTGCTTCCCATAGAAAAAATGAAAAATTTTCTAAGAAGTAGGAAATGACTACATACATGTCTTATCAAGGCAGGTGTTAAGCACAGAAATAGAAGAATAGAATTGACTGATTGGACCCAAAAGCTGGGAATACCTAAATTCAATATTAGTTGTTTCTAACTTTACCCGGGTTAAGTAAGAATAATCTGATGGTTTCCCAAGTCCAAGTTTCTGTTTCTGCTCAGAACTCATTCCTGCCAACATACAGTAGAATATGTGGTAGTTTCTCTCGTCATTGGCTTGGTAAACAATTCTGCAAAAACATGAACTTTGATTAATATTTTGAAAAGATGATGAGATTCAGATTCAGATATTTATTTTCATCGTGCAAGAATTAAAGTAAAACAATAAACACTCATAGATGAGGTGAAGGTTCTACTTTATGGCGCCTTACGAAATAAACATTCCCCCTCAATATTACCTCGACTTTTCGACTAAATATTGTTCAATATATGCTCCAATGATGACTCCTTTCTTTGAAAATTTGATCTTGATAAATTTCCCGAACCGACTAGAATTGTCATTGCGAACAGTCTTTGCATTTCCAAATGCTGAAAAAAAGCAAAAAAAAAAAACACTCAATCATGTACATGGAAAATTACTTGGAAGCGAATGTACAAGTGTGAAAATGTCACTGGGTGAACTGTCATGGATGCAAATGTTCTGGGTGTAAGTGTTCATTGGTCTAAATGTCTGCATCTGTGATGTCTATGGGTGCAAATGTATGTGGATGAAATGTCTGTACGTGTAAACGTTTGCAGGTACAAACACACATGGATATAAATGTCAGAATGAGATTGGAATGAGTGAAAATGTCTGTGTTTAGGTATGTCCCTGGGTTCAAATGCCTGTTGCTACAAATGTTTGTGGGTGCAAATGTCTGTGAGTAAGACTATCTTTGTTTGTAAAGGTCCATGGGTGTAAATGTATGTGAGTTCAAATTCTGTGTGTGCAAACAACCTCGGGTGCAAATTTACATATGTGCCTGCGAGTGAAAATGCACATGGGTGAAAATGTCTGTATGTGTAAATATTCACAGGAGCAAATATACATGGGTAAAAATGTCTGTGGGGGAAAATAAATCTTTTTCTTGTTGCAATTATTCATGAATTGATAAAATTATTAAAATTAACCTGAAAAATTTGTTTAAATTTTTAGCTTAAATAATTTAATATATATGGTAACACTGTATTACCTTCCAGCACAGGATTGGCTTTCAATAGTTGTTCTTCAATAGGCGAATGTTTTCTAGATCCTGAGGTCAGGTACTGAAGAATAAACTTGGTTGACTCTGTCTTTCCAGCTCCTGATTCTCCGCTAAAAATGATTCAGCCCATGTAGTTTATTTTTCCATCGTACTACACTTTGTGAATAAGCAATAGAAAAAGGCATAAAATGGTACTTCAGGGTGAAGGGGAGGCACGAGACACAAATACTGGTTATCGAGCAGTGACATCCGTGATTTAAGTCTAACAGTAATAGATAAATAAAACAATTTTAAATGATTTGTTTTGCACACAAGAGTTCCTCTGAATTGTTACAGAAATACTTTTGTGTATGTGTGTAGCAAGACTCTTGTGATATTTTGTACAAAGCCTCCGCCACTAATGCAAAAATGTAAGATCCCGGAAAACACGCCACCATGTTTTAACATATTACTATAATAAATAAGTGATTATCCAGTCGGGATTAAGGTTTGGGTTAAAAATGATTTGAAAATATTGTTTCCCTTCGCATCCTGCATTCATAACCCTAAGTGGATGACTACTAATTTTTTTTTAATATTGAGCGATGTTTTTTAACTGGGGATTTATAAAAATGATCAGACACTTGCATTATACGCATCTTCAAAGGCAAAAACATTGAACGACAGAAAATATGTGACGCAATTGATTTTATATGTGTTGAAAATTAACCCAGATTTTGATAACCTGTGTTTGACCCCTTATCGATGTGGATGATGACTTATATTGTAAACCCTCAAGTGTTCCGTAAACAAACTGAGTTCCTCGACTATTTAAAAAATTAGCTAAGTGAAGTCTGTTGCATATCTGTCTATTTGAATAGTAAGATCAGATGTGTAACAATGATAAGAAAAAATTTATCTTTGTTTAATAACTTGCCCATGCTTATTAGCTTAGAAGGTCTTTCTAAGAAATTTTAAATCATTAGCAAATTGCTAGGAAATATTGGGAGCACATCAAATAAAACGTGGGTGTCTCACTGATAAGGTAATTTAAACAGGTGACATTTTGACTTTTTCTTGAGTGCTCGTGACCCTATTTCAACAAACTTGTATAAACTGATTATAACCTATTTTCACATCTTTCGATTTGAATAAACCCATATACAATTAGCCACTGATATCTAATAAAATGTAAGAAACTATTTTTGGAAAAGACCGGCATTTTTGGTTTAGGTGATCACACCCTGGGTGAAGTGGGAAGGCGTTTGATTTAAACTTAATAGTAAGAAATGCATTGCCGCCTGCATGCAGAGAACTTTAAGCAATACACCAGTGCTTTTTCAACATTTCTGATGGTGCAGAAACCCAATAAAGCATTCAAGAGGCGAGAGAAACTTCTATAGTTTAACTGCATACAATGTATATAGATATATGTGGAGCAAACCTAAAATACAACTTGAAATGTGTAATCTGCAATGCCAACATGATTCAAGTCTAACAGTTCGACCGGTTGTAGCGCCAGGCATTTTTGGTTTAGGTGATCACACCCTGGGTGAAGTGGGAAGGCGTTTGATTTAAACTTAATAGTAAGAAATGCATTGCCGCCTGCATGCAGAGAACTTTAAGCAATACACCAGTGCTTTTTCAACATTTCTGATGGTGCAGAAACCCAATAAAGCATTCCAGAGGCGAGAGAAACTTCTATAGTTTAACTGCATACAATGTATATAGATATATGTGGAGCAAACCTAAAATACAACTTGGAATGTGTAATCTGCAATGCCAACATGATTCAAGTCTAACAGTTCGACCGGTTGTAGCGCCACCAAATCTATATCAATAACTCTTCCAATTTTACCTTCAGTTTTGATACCTCGATTTATATAAACTTTCAAGAAAGAAAATATCGAAAGTGCCATATAACGAGAACTATCACTAAATTCGCACATTTGGGGTTCAAATTTTGTTATTGAAGTTTATAAAGTCCAAAGACTAGACTCTAATTTCGAAATACAAAAACTAGGGTACTTCCGAAGTATGTGAACCAAGATGGCGGACACCGGGAGCGCCTAAACTAGTCGACAACTGGTCTATGATTAAAACCCAGTGGTGAGTGAATAATAAATCAACTAAGGGTGTGATACACCAGACATGCAGTTTCCCGTCCTGCCAGAGCTAGTAGTTCTTTACATATCTTAGGCTGCCTGCTCGAGCTTGGTTTTGAGTAAAAAAGAAAATTACCCTAATCTGAGTTATCTGAAGTGTGTGTACCGATATGGAGGTAACAAATTTTGTTCGCCTACTTTACATCAAGTTGTGTAAAGAGACTGAAACCTATTCACTTGGCTAACACACACAGTCCTCGAACTCGTAATAGAACTAAAATATGGAAAATTGGAATAAAATTATGGCCTGGCGCTAACCTGGTACATATACTATGGGAGTACCAAAAAAAGAAATACTTCATGCACAAATTACCCTACCTTACAATCACACATTGGTCTTTCTGAGTGATCTGCATGTGGGAGTAAGCATTGTCTGCAATTGCAAATATATGTGGCGGCAATTCTCCAAATTTTTTGTCTGTGTACATTCGGACCTGATCCACCCCATACAAGGGAAGGACTTGATAGGGATTAACTGCCACAAGGATTGAACCAGTGTAGGTCTGAAACAAAGAATGTCCACATAAACATATTTTACTAATTATAAGCATTTTTATACAAATTAGACTGGGAGTTCTTGAGTTGGCTAGACGGCGTTATGAATGGGTTCACCGCCATACCTTTGATTACCCTACCAGTGTAAGTCTAAAATTAAAAAAATCAGTTGCAAGCAGTAGTGAGATACATGGAGTTCGCATGTTTTTTTCTTATAAAGTTATGATTATCAGCAACTCATTCTTTTTTTATTTAAACGTTAGACACCACCATCGTATGAGTCAAGTGCATCAAAGCTAGCAACTGATGGTATATTTGGCGTTTTGGGAGTTATGTTTTAGATTTAAGCAAAGTGATTCATGTTATAGTGTTCATGTATATAGTAGAGTATATAGTTCATGTTATCTTACGTACTAACATGTATCAGTGAACCTGATGTTTAAATTGTTGTTGCTACATGTAATCTCATGTTACATTCGGTATTGTTTCAGAAGTGAGAGAGTCTGTTGTTGGGGATTTGATTGAACAGATAGTCTAAATCTGAATACTTGTTCTGAGTAAACGCATTCTTGCAGGACAATACACATCATAAGTCAAAAGAAAGCAGAAATTATCGTCCATGGAGATCCTATTTTTGGGATGACCGGACTATATACGATCAGGCATGGTCAACCTAATGTGATAGGTGTCCCAAAAAGATATGAATATATAGGGTGTTCATGAAGTTTTAAAATTTTTTAAAAATTTTAAATTTTAACTTCTCAAAAATTTTTAAAACTGCAAAGAGAATTTATCGATACCATATATTGTTTCGGCCCTCAAAGATGTATTAAATCAAGTAAAAATATTTAAACAATTATTGCTTGAAAAACGAAAATTTGGTTATGTTATATTGAGAACTGACTTCATGACAAAATTGAAATTGTAAAGGGACTTTATGGGCACCCTGCATATCTGCCTTCAAATACCTACTGGCTACTCTGGCTACTCCTAAAATTGCAAAGGGAATTGTCGATATATATAGTTTTGGCCCTCACAGATGTATTGAATCAAGTAAGAATACTTGAACAATTACTGAGTAAAAACAACAAACCTAGTTAAGATATATTGAGAACTGACTTCATGACAATATTGGACGCTCCAGAGGTATGTGCACTAAGACTTCCAACAACCTGAACCCTAAAGGTACACACATACTATGTTCAGGTTGTGCGTCATCTTAGTGCACATACTTCTGGAGCTCCGAAAATTAAAATTCCAAAGGGACTTCATGGACACCCTGTATTACACTTGAATCACAGACATATAAATCTTGAGACATAATTTCATACGTGGCTTTCAATTCTGAATGAGGCTATGTACAAATGGCCACTGCAATTTATTTTAAAAGAACTAAAATCTGTCGGTCAGTCATTGCATAAACAAATTTATTACATCCTGGGTAAGATTGTCTCTAGTGAATATAGCATTCAAATTCACTATTTTGGCATCACTGGTTGAAAAAAGGGCAAAATTCGCATGCGCACAACCTGATCCAGAAAATTTTGTTTGGAATGATGAGTGGATGAAACCATCGTTAATAAAATAAAATAATTCTACATGTTTTTGTATTTCATGCAATCCAACATTCATCACTCACATAAATTTTGTTTTCATTGTATCTGATGAGTAAATTTCTGAGCATCCCTGCTTCATTCAGATCGCCAAGTCTGATCATGTCCTCAACTCCCTCCACAGATGTTGGATGCATCAACTCGATCTTTGCTGAAGCTAACTTTAACCATTTTTTCTGCAAAATTGGAATAACATGTTTTTAGTTCAACATACTCACGGCTTAGCTTGCGAAGGACAACAATCTAACAGTTTGTTTTATCAAAAAAGGTCCACAAATTTTGTGTGGACAATGAAACTGAAACTTATAAACACTGGTTCAGTCACAGATTGTGGTATTTTTTGCGAGAATTCTCAGGCCTAGTCATAAAGTCTTAGTCTAAAATATTCCCACAATCTTCTTACAACCAGGTAAACCAAGTTAATACTTATCCAAGGCGTAGTAGATCATGCAAACGACCTTCAAGAACCAAGTAGTACATGCCCACTACTAGCCCAGGGAAACCATGCCTAACAACTCCCCAAGACCAGGTAAACCATGCCCACCAACTTCCAAGAAATAGGTAAAGCAAGCCTACTACCATCCTATTACCAAGCAAACTATGCCCGCACCTTACAATAACCAGATAAACCATGCCCATCACCTTCCCAGAACTAAAAAACATGCTCAGCATCTTTCCAGAATCAGGTAAACCATGCTCACAACCTCCTTAAAAGCAGTTAAACTAATTTTTATTTTACTCTTCTCCGAGATAAATATTAAAATGGATTCTATAAATAATTATATTACTAACCTTTTTCTCGTCATCAAATACTTTGATTTTTCCGCCTTGTGTTGCTTCGACCACTGCACCCAACGGTACCGAACACTGAGATTGAGGGTCTGCGTCTATTAACCAGACATGGTCGCCCTAAAAATAAGGTGTGAGTGTGTAGATCAGACGTTTTTAACAAGGCTTTCGCCGGTACAGTCCTGGGGTGTTTACAATCAAATCCAAGGGTCTATATTATCGTTATATATATATATATATATATTGTTTGTATAAATTTAATCAAATAAGTTTGTCAATATTATTAGACTTGTTCACTTTAAAAATCATTTAAGACAATTTATCCATTTTTCGGACGTTGATAAAAGACAAGATGTTAGAGGAGCAAAAGTCATAGGTAATATGAAGTGTCCCCCCATCATAAAGAAAAAGTGTTTCCATTTAATATATCAGTGGCAGCCCGTGTCCGAAAAATTCGCTGCAAGAGCATTTTGCTTTAAAACATGTATTTGCAAATATAATCTGTTTTTATCACAATAATAATTGTTTTACAGCAAAAATATTTTTCTAGGCGGCAAAATTTCCTGCGGGTGAGATTTCCTACGGCGCAATTTCGTGCTGCAAATTTTTCTAAAACTGTGGCAGTTTGTGTAAGTCCCGTATTCTTAACGAAGTGCTTAATTAAACGTCGCATAAATATGAACTCACCTTTTTGAACTTTGCCATTTCAGCCTTTTCCTCCTATTCAGTAATTATCCGTTGCCAGGGCGGTCTTAATAATCGTAGCGCTTTACGCCTATATAGACTTCGCGTGGCCAGTCTGTGTGGAGATTAAAATAACCTTTTCAACCTTTATATTTGATTATTTATGTTTTATGCCCTAACTGAAAAAAAAATTCAAAGTTACTCGTGAGAGTTTATACATGCTTATAACGGTTGCATTTAATAATTTACACCTAGAATCAGCGAGCGCTGAACCTATGGAAGTACAGGACACATTGCGCCACGTAAGTTGCAGTGACCTGAGGCCGTCCATGTCTTTGTATCTTGTCAGCTATTTAAGTAAAACTTCAACTGTAAAAATATCTAAAATCAATATTTATCACGGCGTTTAGGTCACGACTTTCGCTCCGAACAAGGCCTTGTATAACCGGCCACTGTTATCCAACGATATGACATGCGCTACTATTATTTGGCAGGGTCAGAATTTTTTAAGTAACGGCATTTTGGTCTCGTGTATATACCGATAGACTTGATGGTTGTCGCGTCGTGTCAGGCCTTGGGAACAAACACACTTGGAATCGTACCCCTGGTTGGTTACCCTTGCCTAGATTGCAGGCTCAAATATTGTGGGTTTTTTCAAGTGCTAGATGGTTGCTGTCATAGGATGTTTCACATATCTCTAGTGTCTAGTCTATTACGGTTTTCTCGAAATCAATAACTATTTTCATACTTGGCATGGACTGGTAACCTGATGCGACACCGTATAGCACATTGTAGTTAATTTAACTGACTTTAATTGATAGCTAAACTTAAATATGCGCTTCAACTTGAAATCATCACTTATTTGATCTAACATAGAAATTAAAACCTGTGAAATTCACTTATCAAGCTATAAAAGTAGGGAGAACGGTGAGTTTTATTGTAAAGGGGGTGTAAACTCAGTTTTGTGCCTAACAAAACTCCGCTATAAAAACTATTTTCATTTTTTCTACAATATATTTGTTCATTCCTTTCAAATACGCATTTCATCTACTTCGAGTAGACTAGAACGTAGCTCTCTATTCTCTATACCGAGGGTGTGCAACCTGCGGCTGCCGGGCCAAATGCGGCCCGCAAGAAAAAATAGTGCGGCCCGCAGGTAATTGCCAATTTTGAATGGTATGCTGCCCACGAAACGAGTGTTTAATTCCAATCACTTTGCGTATCAAAGCCTATACCCGAGTTTTATTTATTGGCCTATGACGTTACAATGCCCTAACAACGCATGTAAATAACCAAAATTTGGCCCTCCAATATTAAAGGTTGTCTGCCCTAAATTAAACATTCAGTATATTTTATATCGGGGCTATGTGCTGTAACAGAATAGCGTGATGAGGTACTCGATAATTACTATTAGCATTGTTACGCAATGGTATTTGATAATGTGTAAATAATGGTAATTCTTACTCCTGGCAAACAAAGTAAAGTTCATTGTACGATATGAGCGACTTTCCATCACATCCGCGGAACGTGCGCTACGCGTGTTTGGCGCCCACACGGATGGTTAATTTTTTTATTTAAATTAATTTGCTCGAAGGTCAGGCGCATTCACTCAGTAGCGAATGAGGTAATCTGTAAGTGAAACACGTGCCGCAGCGCAAACTTAATGAGATACTGGGACTTTAAAAAATAGTGATAAAATAGGTATAATAACTATAGGTTTTTATCGACTTCATAATCAGCATAATTGACGATAAAATATGGATAAAAACAAAATAAATAGGACGGATTATAGAATCGGGAGTGAAATGGCATTCCACCGTAATTCAATATTGTTAAAAGGTGTCAGACGTTAAATGTTTTAAGTAGCATTTCATCTGAACTTGTGTTAGTTTTGCGTCACTTTTTTAACATCCTGTATAGAAAAACCAATGAATTCATATTAGTATCATTTTTTTCAGCTACAAATTTACAGTTCAAAATTTAAGCTGACGATTTAGACAAAATTAAAGTAATAATTTTGCAAATTTACCCCTTTGAATAGGATAAGATATACACAGCATCTCTCCCGGTTACCTGTCCAGGTCGGGTATGTGATTAGTTAGTTAGCCAGTGATCTTTGTTTTCATATGCAACGGCTTCATGGTGGAGAACCAGCGACCTGCATTTACGTGGGGAACTACCCTACGGTGGCGAGAAGTCCAACAATCCCCTCGCAAGAGTTTCGAACCTGCGAACCCACGCGGGGTGATCAGAGGTGCCGTGCAAGCGTAATCCCACTTGTACCGATGCACCACACTGCGGTTCTTAGCGGTTATTTTATTAGAATATTTTAGTTCCCCGAGGGCGTGAGGTTGTAACGATATTGTTCTCAGAACGATTTAATTGCCGCGTTTTGCGACTTTTATTTTTCGTCATAGACCTTCATCAGAGGTGAACTCTGAGTTGGAAAGAAAACCTCCGTTCATCTTATTTTTTAATTAAATATATTTAATCTAGTTTTTTTTTGTTAATCATATATCCGTATGATTGATATACTTACCATGTACCCATGGGTAAGGGGTGTCGGTGATTCTAATCAGAGGTCCATACTGATCCGCACAAAACCTAAATCAGCCGATTACTGTTAAATTCTTTTTGGACCTGACTCCATTGCATTTTCATTTTGTTAAATATTTATATATAATAGAAACTCGGGTGTCTCTGCTTGATAATCAGTAATCAGTAATTTATTTTTTCACCAAACAGAAAAAAACACTACATGCAAATAAATATAAAAAAGGAATTAAAATACGGCATTTCAGGGCGAAAGGAATCGCGAAAAACCAAAACTGGTTAACGAGCAGCGACACCCGTGAATCAGTCTAACAAAAATATAAACAGAAGAGAGAAAGAAGTCAAACATTATATCATGAGGAAAAAAAGACAGCAAAATTCAAACCAAATACGTACAACACTAGACTCCGAGCACCGTCACCGTGATAACTGACCTTGGTTCTCAGCGGCTACCTACTGCTTCCCAGTAGAATTCTGTGCTCAACCTTTTCTTATTTTTTTTCTAGATCAGCGTTTCCCAAACTGTGTTCCGCGGAACACTAGTGTTCCGCGAGCATCTTCCAAGTGTTCCGTGGAAAAGGGACCAAAATTACCTCGGGATCGTGAAGTTGTCGCACAACTGGCGACCGTTCAATATCGCGTCACGATCGGCCTAAAGCGGACAAAGGCAAAAGGTCAACTCTTCTTTCTCAAGCTCTGACTGGTTTTACTAGGAAATGCTGAAAAAATCACTCATGTTCGCTAAATTCGATTCAGCAGATAAACAAACTCCAGCTCGCAAAATTGCACCAAGTACTTCTAACTCCATTGTTAGGTAACATTAGAGGCAAACACTACGTAATAGAAAGTAAACGACAAAGAAAGGTAAATGAATTTATTGATTCAGATACACAGCATTTAAAATAAGGAGCAATAAACATTTAAATGCAATATGCAAAATATTCGCTGAATATTTGGTTTCTGCGAGACTAACTACTTATCCTTCTTCAATCTATGCTTTTGTGCCGGTGGATCCGTATGCATATATTGCAAGGATGCTGTAGCAAGAGTAGAGATAACAATCCTAAGTGATTCAAGAGTCTTGCTACACCCTAACACAAATATATTTCTGTAACGTTTCGTCTGACCAAGGTCAGACTTCTTCAGACATACATACACAAATATTCAATCATATTTTAGGTATGCTGAATGCACTTTTGTTAGTTTTCGCGGCGCATTTGGCAACTCGCCGCGGCGAAGAACTGTAGTAGCGCACCTTTTGGGACCGCCGCATTACACCATTTTTCTTTATCAATTTTACCCTTTAATTTTTGGTGTTCCGCGAAGCGAGATAAAAAGCGTAAGTGTTCCTTGGCCAAAAAAGTTTGGTAAACGCTGGTCTAGACTATGCCATTAGAGATTACCGTCTTTGATGTTTACCGATTTTACGGGTTGTCTGCGAGCAGACGCAAGTTTAATTAAACGAGAGAGATTTCCACGCGAAAAAAACGCTCGTGAGATTTCCACGCGAGAAAAAACACTCGTCTTTAATTGATAAATTAGAAACCGGAAATACAAAAATTGACTCATGGCGCCGGAGAGCGGAAACCGAATCCTGTTATCGAATCCCGTTGGGTTCGAATACTTTGGGATTCGAATACTCCGGATTCGGTATTCTATATTGCCCATCCCTACCTACCTATACTATGTTCCGGTGTCTGCCAGCTTGGTTTACATACTTCGGGAGTACCCAAAAATAGTGCTTGAATATGCAAATAAACAGATGTCGCCTTTTGCTGGATCGCAATCACTGCTGGAGTAATATAGGGAAAAGTAACTGTGAAAGTCTGGTTAAATTCCTTATTGGTTCCAAAATGACTTTAGTTGGTTGTAAGAAATGTAGTTTCACAAGTCATTGGTGTCAATATGACATTTATTTTGATTGGTATATTCCAAAACTAATTATGTTCAAAAAATTCAGGCTCAACAAAGTGAAAACTGAAAGCCTTTGTTAGGGACCACTGGTATATAAAATAACACAGTACCGGTAACCCTTTTTTTATCCAGCTAATGACAAAGCAAGTTTACCCAGAAAATCTAGAGATTGCGATCAATAAAAATGGAATCAGCTTGATTGATCCAAAGAAAGACAAAGAAACTAAAAACGTGAGTACTGAATCTGATAAAATCTGGCTTCATAACTTTTTTAATAAACATGTTGGTTCTGCACTTTTGTCCTTTTTGTAAGCTTCTACAAGAATAGTGTTGTTCCTGTGGAGAGATTTAGAATGGGGGATGGAGATTGTTAGACATGCGAAACTTTTGGGGTTTTAAGAGTCGGAGAGCATAAAGGGTTACACGGACGAGGGAGAAGTTTTATGGGTTGGGGTGACATGCAAAGATTTTTGGGGTTAGGGGCGTTTATGAGTCGTGGTGACATGAGGAATTTTAGAGGATGTGAATAGAATGCGATGTCAATAATTTCTTGA